TATATATACACACGTGTGGGTGCGTGCGTGTGTAGCTTTGCAGTACAATACTCTGTCATCGACAATACATGCATTCATAAAAGGCACGGAAAAAAAATTATTTCTCCTTTGCACTTATCTATTGCACATTATTTATGTTCTTGACCGCTTCTCTGCCGTTCCGTGCAATGCGCGTATGTCCAGCTCGTATCTAATAGATCAGTATCTACTGTAGACGTGCGATTCTCATTCAGCCGGCAGTGACCTCATGTAGAAACAGATCGCAGCGCTCCGTCTGCAGATGTAAAGTGAATGTGTAATACAGCGCTACAAAAACTATATACCAGCAATAACTTTGCCCGTTCTTCTCATGTAAAAAAAAAAAGAATGACAGGCAGCGGCGGCATAAACCCCAGTATAAATGCCCTTGGCGGGCCGCATGTGGCCCGCGGGTCTTCGCTTGAGGACCTCTGGCGTAAAGGAAGCGTACCTGTCTGTTGCTTTGGCTGTCCCTCTGCCTGTCTCTGTCCATCCGCCTTCGCTCGCATTTTCGAAAACTGCTAAAGTTACTGCGAGAAAGTATGTGCTTTTGGAGCACCACTAGTTATGGTTTCTCTGCTCTTATATAAAAATTGGAGAATATTCTAGCTTTAGAACTACACACGTTCCTGTGACCCAATAAATAATATTTTTCATTTTTTTAATTTTTTTATAAATCCGCGTGTTTTGCAGTTTTTATCGTTAGAAAGTAATAACTACAGCCCGGAAGTTTGGCAAAATATCTTTTTACAATTGTTACGATTTTAAGACCTTTAACAATAGGAATCATTTAATTGTAACTCTCGAGATGAGTACAATTTCATTTTGCCATTTTTATTGCCTATTTTAGCTTCTGATGCCTACTTTTGGTATTTTGCGTTATTTGTGCCATTGTCTTTGTTATTGTGGCCTTTTCTGACTGAAGTCCTACGAGGTACAAGAGAGGATGAACGCATTTTTTTGCCGTTTTTAGCAGCGTGAGCACATACGTCAGAGTGCGGCTCGGCACTGACAAGTATACATGTAGGACGAAATTTTTCCTGTCTGAAACATACATTGGTTAATAGAAGATGTAATAATGTCACAGAAAGTATTTTGGAAATATACATAATTGTAAATTATGAAAACGAATTAAGAACATTTCTTCTGTAAATTAATTATTTTTTTTTATTTCTGAAGGTATATATACGTATGTATTTTTCTGTTTTCTTTTTTTGGTTTTATGCTAATTTAATTTTGTGTGGTAATAATATTTAAAATATCAAATGTGGTTTTTTAAACAATATGTACTAATATTTATAATAAAACTAATATTATAATATTTCATTCACCTTAAATATCACATTCAAGATATAAAAATAAGTCGATAAATGGATTAACTGAGTTTGTAGGCTACATAACACCGTTTTACAAAGTCTTAATCTTTTTATTGCACGTTTCTGTGTTTTCATTGCGCTGTTGCGTTTCATTGCGTTGTTCTCATTGTTAGAGAGCACAGCATGAAAATCCTACCTTTAGTAATATATTTAGGAGCAAATTGTCATTTGTATTTACGTAGCGGATTTTAATGAAATTTCATTTTCTTTCTTTTCACTTTAGGACTTCGCGGTTTAGTGTAGAAATTAATTTTATGTTATGACAACGGAATGACTCTTTTATGTAATATTTTTTGCATTTTTCCTCTAATTTCGACTAAGTACTTTTTCCTTTTTACGTCATTTTTAATGCATTTTTCACTGACTTAATTTATTTTATCATTTTAATGGGACTTGCTTCAAACAATATTTACGAGGTGCAACAAATGTTCACCACAGAATTCTTGACTAGCCTATTCGATTTCTTCCCTCATATATTGTAATGTCAGAAGTCGTGAGTGAGTTCTATGTAATCTGAGGTACCTGTGACGCTTATCGGTGCCGTTGTCAGTTCGGCCGATTTCGCGATAAATAAAGGCAGCGATTTACTTTTAAAGATAATTCCAAATAAAAAATTTGCAAGTTGAGTTCACTTGAAAAGAAAGAAGCCTTGATTACTCCAGTTACTTACCTAACACTGAGTTGTTCGTCAGAAGTGGTTTTGATCAATTGTTTTCGTCATTTTTCTTTGTTTTTATGGCATTTTAAGTGCATTTTATTGATCATTTTTGGCAATGTTTTAGGTCATCAAAAACCGCCTCCTACATATAATTAACTCGTCGGAACAATTTATACGATGCAATCGGTATGAATGTTGATGGTCGAAATGGATTGATACATTATACGTTAACAGTTGAAGACGTGGTTTGATCTTGAAATTTCTAAAATGCCACCGATTATTGAACACTGAATATAAACTAATCATAGACGTTTAGAAAGACCTAAACTCCCTATTCAGACACGTTTGCTCGTTAAAATGTTATAAAGTGTGCACATCTCATGAACTCGCATATTCAACATGTCTCTTGTGCTTTCGCGGGCGATAGCTGTGTTTCACGAACGATTCGAAAATCATTAGAATTGATTGTGCCAATCAAATAATGAATGTGAACGAAACAAATATTTACAAAGATACAAACTTACTATATAGATTTCTCATAAATTGTTCGGGGAAGAACGTACTGTAATCGTATTGTTCCTCCGCTGCCCCTAGCGCTACTTTGGCATCATCTGTACTCCGATGACAGCTGTACTCTGTGGGTACCTCACTTTAATAATATTATTTTGTCGAATTTCTAAAAAATCGTTTATAGTGCTTGCAGAACATTTTGGAAGAAAACATTCGAAACTGCAATCAGCGTTACTTTAAAGTTTATCGTTTTACTTTTCTTCTTGTTCTTCTGCTTCTTTTTTTCCCTTCTTTTTCTTCCTTCTTCTTTTTCTTATTTTTCTTCCTTCTTCTTTTTCTTATTTTTACTTCCTTCTTTTTTTATTTTTTCTTCCTTCTTCTTTTTTTATTTTTCTTTCCTTCTTCTTATTTTTTCTTATTTTTTCTTCCTTCCTTCTTTTCTTATTATTCTTTTCTTCTTCTTTCTTCTGTTTTATCTTCCTATTTTTATTTTTCTTCCTTTCTTCCTTTTTTCTTACTTTTCTTCCTCTTTTTCTTTTCTTTTTTTCTTCCTTCTGCTTCTTTTTCTATTTCTTCCTTTTTCTTCCTTTCTTCCTTTTTTTTCTTCCTTCTTTTTCCTTCTTCTTCTTCTTCTTCTTGTCTTCCTTCTTCTTCTTCTTCTTTCCTTCTTCTTCCTCCTTCTTCTCGTCTTCCTCTTCGTTCTTCTTCATTTCCTATCTTCTTCTTCTCCTTCTTCTTTCTTCTTCCTTCTTCCCTTCCTTCTTTCTTTCTCTTCGCTTCTTTTCCTTCTATCCTTCTTATCCTTCTTCCTTCCTTCTTCCTTGTCTCCTTGTCTCTCCATTCTTTCTTCCTTCTTCCTTCTCTTCCTCTATTCGTTCTCTCCTTCTTCTTCCTTCCTTCTTCCTTCTTTTCTTCTCTTCTTCTTTTCACTCTTCTTCCTTCTTCTTCCTTCCTTCCTCTTCCTTTCTTCTCTCTTCTTCTTCTTCCTTCTTCTTCTTCTTCTTTTTTTCCTTTCCTTCTTTCTTCCTTCTTCTTCTTTCTTCTTCTTTCTTCCTTCTTCTTGCTTCTTCTTCCTTCTTCTTCTTCCTCTTCTTCTTCTTCCTTCTTCTTCTTCTTCTTCTTCCTTCTTCTTCTTCTTCCTTCTTCTTCTTCTTCTTCCTTCTTCCTTCTTCCTTCTTCTTCTTCCTTCTTCCTTCTTCCTTCTTCTTCTTCTTCCTTCTTCTTTTTCTTCCTTCTTCCTTCTTCCTTCTTCTTTTTCTTCCTTCTTCCTTCTTCTTTTTCTTCCTTCTTCCTTTTTCTTCAAATTAGTAGAAATTAACTTAAATACTTATTAGTGTGCTCCCAAATTAATTGGCATAAACCATGCCGGGGCCTCCAGAAGGGCGCCACAATGCACTTCAAATGTATATTTTCATCTGGGTTCAGATTATTCTTCTGGGTTACAAGTTATTTCATAACCGTTGAAAATAATACGACAATATATATCTGCTTTGGTAGTACCGCCAGTTACGTTAATAAAATTATCAAAAATTGAATAATTTCGTGACTTTTTTTCCTTGTGAAATAGTACTGTTTGCGTTATTCGACAAAATCTCTTTAAGTTTTGCAATAATACCTAAAGATTTTCTCAAAAATTTCACCTTTTGTGCTGCATTTAATTATTCAATATATTAGACAGGAATAGGAGTGAATTGTATATGTAGTGTAAAATAAAAGTAATTTTGTTTATACCGCAACGACCTCCCGCCACTCTGCCCCGTCCCACCACACCTCCCGCTCCGCCCAGCCTAGATATGTTTCAATATTATAATGTCATGTTACCGTTAAAAAGGTTGTGAGAATACATGATTTGATCTAACATCAATAGTTTTTCATTTGTTCATTTCCTATTGCTTCCATCATGATAGAAGAATTTTTAGTAATGGTTCACTGGCAAACCAAGAGACTACATTCAGTATCATTTACATCTCAATAGTAATGTTTATTTCCATGGTTTCAATAAGCAAGTAGTCATCTTTCATGGCAAAAGAAAGTCTGAATTTTTTTAAGTATATCACTGTTTTTGTAGAGAAGTTATGCATTATCTTTTGAAAAAGCATAAAACGTTGGGTGTTATACACCCATTGTTTTAAGTGTTTCAATTTTTGCAAGAAAAAAATTTAGAAATTTTTAATTATCTTATGGTACATAGATTTGAATCTACATTGTATAAGAATTTTATCACATACATACTGGTGTGAATATTTGATAGCCACATTAGAATTTTTCTCTGTGAATTATACTCTATTATAATGTCTTCAAACTTGAAATACACCTGGTTTTGTTCTGTCAGCTTCATTGGTTCATTCCTTTCATTGCCTCCAAAATTCAGGACATGTTTGTATCTCAGATAATGTCAACACTTCATAGACAATTAATTTTAAACATTTTTATTTCAGTTTGCAAGACAACAGTCCTATAAAGGTGTAATAACCGTTCTGAAGGTGGATCGTCAGGAGGCAGGAAACTCCAGTACACCAACCAGTAAGGTTTCAGAAAATGTAAGTCAAGATAAAGCTAAATCTTTGCTCATGTCTTGCACGAAACAGAAAAGCAAGACTGCCTCTAAATCAACTCACAAGTCAAATTCAAGTGGAAAAAATGGCCATTCAAGTACGAGTGAAGATAGGAGGAGCAAAGAAAGCAAGGCCAGATCCAGTGTTGATAACCGTGACTCCCCTAACATGGATCAAGGAGAACTCTTATTAAAAGTTCTGGAGAAACTTAAGAAAATGAATTTAGAACAAACTGACGCACCTCCACCATGGTTTAGAAGATATATGCAAAAGGTAAATAAATAAATAAGGAATATTATAACAGTCTGTGTTAAAACAATTGTTTACAGAATAAAATGGTAATTTTTATTTATTGTTGCTCTAATTTTATTTGATGTATTATCAATTCCACAATTTATATTATCATATAAATTGTGTTACACATTTAAATGTAGGTATAATTAATCAATTTTTATTTATCTATTTCAGATGAAAAGTGACATTGTGACTGAAGTGACGAACAACATTTTGCATGAAATTCAACGTGTAGTTCCAATGCAGAGAGATTATAATGCACCAAGAAGCAATTCATGGGTTTTGAATAAGAATAAGAAGAAGAAAAAACTCTCTGATGAAGAATCTTCAGATGGCGCTTTGGGGTGTGAATCCAGGTGATTGTTTCATTTTTATCTTCTGCATTTTACTTCTGTTTTGTGTGTTTAAATGTTTTTCTTCTAAATGTTTAAATAATCATGAATTTTTACAGAGACCATAAACTGCTGAAAAAGATAGAAAAGCTGCATAAACGTGAAAAGAAATTGGAAAAACTAGATTCCAAACTAGAGAAACTTGAAAATAAAACAAAGAGAATGATGGAGAAGAGATCACAATGTAAAGCTCGTTGTGAAAGATTACCAGAGCGAAAAATTTGTCCTGTGAAAAGGAGGTCTGGTGATTTGCATTTTGGCACATACTTGATGGATGCAATATTACTTAATGATGGGCCAGCAAGTGAAATTACCATTTTTCCTGGTCATAATTTCACAAAAGTGTGGGAAATCATGAATGCAGGGACTCTACCTTGGACTGATAAAGTAAGTTTGTTTCCTTTCAGCTAAAAGTGTTTATAAATTCTCTCACAACTATTTAGGCATAGAATATGTACACATTGATATTGTCACTATTAACCCTAGTACATTGTTCATATTTTCTCCTTTGGGAAGGCACTTTAAATGGAAATAAGTCAATAGATGTCAACAGTACAATTGCACGACTTAAAATATTTGGATGAAAAATTAACGTAGGAAGGTACAGAATAAATGCGAGTTTTTAAAACATTTTTCCTTCCAAGAATGGAAAAGATTTATTTTTTATGAAGGTTGTCATTACATGCAAATACTTTGTCATGAACTATACTTATACGTGAATGTCAATTTAGTTTTAACCAATAATTGCAATTTCACATTGTGATGTGATGAATGTATGTGAGAATGAAGAGAAATTAATACAGAATGATGTATGAATTTCTGTGCTGCTGCGCTTGAATTCGGCTCTTGCGGACTTTAAATAAATGAATGAATAAATAAATGTTTTTATTAGTGGCGAGATTCAGGCTATTTTGCCTTCTATTCTGCCTGACCACTTTCAAAAAAAAATGTTCATGATAAGAAGGTCATTCAAAGGAAAATACGTACGCAATTTGGATTTTTCTCACATTGAAGACAGAAATGAAAGTGAGGGAGGAAGGAGTTGATAGAAAAAGGATTGCTCTCACAGCATTTGTAAGATTAAATTTCTTTCTTTCAAGTTTGGGATGTATTAAAATTAATCATGAATATATTAGATTGAACGATGCAAAATTTTAACCAAATTTAGAGAAATTATATTTTGTGACTGGAAGTTAGATGCAGATGATGACTTAGAAGTCATGGCATTAGACCAAGGGCAAGCCCTTGCATGCTGCCCACATTACAAATGTCCTAAAAGTGGTCTCTTAAAAGAGATAAAAAAAGAAAATTGCTATTAAGGGGGTGGTTGGTGGTCAGGGAGAGGGGTTGCCTGTTAATAAGGATGAAATTTACATTCACTATATGGGTCTCAGAGTCTGTTTCAAGAAAAATCTGTCCTTGAGAAATCATGTTAATTAATTTATTTACGTCAAAAACAGTTCAAAACTGTGTATGACGCCCTATGGGGAGAAGTTAATTTGAAGTTAATTGAGAGAGGTGGTCTTTCAGAGATATTTCACTGTACCTAGTGTATAGATAGTGAATTTTCTTTCAGCGTATTTTTCTGGATATCATTTCATGTAATAGTGCTTTATTGGTTGTGTAGATTTTATAACTTTATTTAACTTTGCTTAACCTTGAATGTTGGGAGGGACCTCTGCACAATATTTATTGTGTATTCTTACTTGTGCATTTTACCTACATTATTTACAAGCACAAATAATAAAAGGATAAAAATATGAAGTTCTTATTACTTGAAATAATAATTCTGTTGTTATTCGGAGTAGACTCCATTCCTCCTTGCAATCCTATGTTTACTCTGGCATTTGCAATAAATATTCTGAATATAACATATGGGGTGTAATGTAGGTGCATTTTCCTAATACCTAGTCGTTGAAGAACATTATTTTAATAAATCTCATTGCTTTTGATTTTGAGAATTTCTTCATTTGTTGCAGTGTATTTTAAAAATATGTATTTCTATTCTAAGTTTTAAATGAGTGCTATGAAATAATTGTTTAAGAAAATTGTAATAGAAGTTGCTTTTAAAAATGTTAAAATTTAATTTTTTTTCACAGACAGAGTTACGCCAAGCATGGGGGACATCTGGCCTGGAACCAGAAGAGACTGTTGTGAAATGTCCAATACTGCAGCCTGGGGAACAAGGGACCATAAGTGTACGGTTTCGTGCTCCTGGTAAGATACTGACATGGTCCTTTTTTATTTTTATTATAACACTTCTAAAAATACTAATAATGCATGTGAAAATTGAAAAACTAGGTTTTTAATAAAATATAATTTATAATTTTCAGTAATAATCAAAGCATGTTTTTTTCCAACTTAAGCTTTTTCTTTCCAAAACGATTTAAAACTTTGTTTATAAAATGAGTAAAAACACTAGACAGTCTAAATAAAGAATGTTTTGTTTCAATCGTGTAATTTGTATATCTCAGAGAATTAGGTTGCAAGTGAACTAACTATTGAGAATGGTTGATTCACAAGCCCCATTCTCAGCAAGTGGGCGTCAGGTATCTTCAAAGAAGCTGTTACCTGCTGGGGAATTGACTTATTAGCTGATTTAAATTTTCAGCCTGTAAACAAAAGGCTAAAACTTAATGTAAATAGAACTTTGTATTATATGGAACTAAAAAGATAGAAAAACAAGCGAGTATTTTTCTGCAAATTGGCTATATTTGAGTTTGTCCAATTATTTATTTGTATTTTTAATTTTATTCTAACAATGTTAACAGAAAAAAGATGTTAAAAAACATAGTACATAGTGTTGTCAAAGTACATAGTGTTCAGAAGTGTAACTCCTGTGTATATAAGTTAGTAACGTTCAAAATCTCTCTCTGCAGTAGTTCCTTACCACTCCACTAAATTTGTTTGGAAATGACAATGTTGAGAGTCATCTTCACTCCAGTCTAGAACTGCTTTGTAGCATGATGTCCCTGAAAATACCTGAATCACTTCTTTACTTCAACTCCTTGGCCCTTCAAGTCGCCTCCTTGCACACTGCAAATATCCTGATGCATCATTCTTACATTGGATTGGATTTGGACATTCTTACATTGTGAATTGAGGAGCTTTGGCTTAGTGTACCAGAACACAATATTGTATTGAAAATTCTTCTAACAAAATGAGCAGATAAGGAGAAAGTCTCGTCTAGAAAATTAACACATTCAAATACATTATTCAGTAATTAGGAATATGAAAACAAGTATTCTTTGCCTGGAAGATGGAAGCAGGGAACCCATTATCAACAGCCGAGATGGTGCGGTTAGTGTGTAGCTCATTATGAGCAGATGATCTAGGTATGCACAGCACATGGCACCTCTGGTTCCAGTTGAGATGGAGCATACTTCTGAAATTTAAAAATTTCAGTCTTGTGATCAATGTTTTTAACAACTATATTGCATAATTTGTTTTTTACCCTAATAAAACAATATTACAGTAACAGATACTTTTAACATTTTTCTAAACTTAATAGCATTCAATTCTTTAAAAATAAATCCCTTTCTATTCTTGCAAATTGTGGAACAATCATCAAGAAATTGGTTAAGAATCTCAGGATATTAGATAATAACAATGAAATAATTGAAATCATAAATTAGAATAAAAGCTTTTTAGTAAAGAAACACAATGTTCTCCAGGACTGACTGACAGTATATATGTGATTTAAGCACAGTCGTGCTTGCCCGGGCCCACGCTTGCATCAAGACAGAAAATAAAGAGAACCTATACCTTCAGTCTAAATGTTTAAAAATAATATTCAAAAATATTTGAAATAACTTGGTTTTTAAAACTTTTTAAAATTCTAATTTGAAATTAATATTAATCAAAAATAATTTTTATATAACAAAAAGGCATTAAGTTGTTACTAAATAAAAATGAAAGAAAACGTGTTTTTCCGTATTCTATGCAGCAACTAATTGATTTTGTACTTTTTTTAAAATTAGAAAGTGCACAATTAACACAACGAAATAACATTATTGTTCATTAAGGTTTCCTTGTTTTTTTGTTGTTTTTTTAAAATCTTAAATGGCCATACGTCTTGTAAAACAATAATGCTTGAATAACTATTGAAATTTGTGTTTTCTATTTGGGGCAAATTGATATTAAAAAGGCTTTTATAATATCATGAATGTCTCTCTCTTTGTCTTTCTCTCTTCTCTTTGTCTTTCTCTCTTCTCTTTGTCTTTCTCTCTTCTCTTTGTCTTTCTCTCTTCTTTGTCTTTCTCTTTTTCCTTTGTCTTTCTCTCTTTCTCTCTCTCTCCCTTTGTCTTTCTCTCTTTCTCTCTCTCTCCCTTTGTCTTTCTCTCTCTCTCTCTCTCTCTTTGTCTTTCTCTCTCTCTCTCTTTCTCTCTCTCTTTGTCTTTCTCTCTCTCTTTCTCTCTCTCTTTGTCTTTCTCTCTCTCTTTCTCTCTCTCTTTGTCTTTCTCTCTCTCTCTTTCTCTCTCTCTCTTTCTCTCTCTCTCTCTTTCTCTCTCTCTCTCTTTCTCTCTCTCTCTTTGGAGTGTAATTTTTGAGATGCTTTTGATTAATGAATTTTTTAGAGATTATTTTGTAGATTTTGTAGGATATGTAACACTTGTATGAAAAATCAATTGTTAGTTGCATTACTTGTTTGCAGCATTTCCTGGAAAATTCAAGTCATATTGGCACTTCTATCACATGGGTGATAGATTTGGTCACTGGATTGGATGTGCTGTAGTTGTTAAGGATATGAAGGAATTACCAGGACATCTTAACAAAGGTACAATTGGCTATTTAACAGAAGACATACTATATAATTCCTTTTTCAATGAATATGCATTTTAATGTGAGCTCATGTTCTTTTCAGAAGTTATATATGAGCCAAATGGACAGAATGATCTCTCTCTTGATTCTGGTATTAAAAACAAGTCTGATGTAATTAATAAACTCCCTTATTGTAAAACTGAATGTAAACTGAAAAGCAGTCTTCCTCCAGCTCATAGAAGAGAGGAATATGAAAGTGACTTTGAATCTGACAATTTGAGTGTAATTTCTGGACCAGGATCTGAGTCCTCCGACTCAGATGATGAAAATTTTGTTGTTATTCCAATGCCTGCTTGCTTTGTGTGTGATGTTCCTTTAGGACAGGCAGGTTTGTATCAGTTGAATGATAATGATATAATACAGTTAGGCTGTGTATTGTCGATATGTTTCTGCTTTGGGTAGAAGGAAATTGTACAATAAATAGTTCTTACATTTTCTTCTGTTGTAATAAAATAATCTTGCCACCTGCAAGGCCAATTTGAATTTTTCTATTAGTTTGCTGGATAAAGCAGATTAATCTTTAAAGCGTGAAAAGATTGTTTTAAATTTACATTCTGTCACTAAGACATGGGAATGTATGCATCATCATGAGGAAGAGGATTTTTTTCTTCTTGATGATACGTTTCTTTATGAATTCGCTAAAAATGTTTGAAGTACAATATTGAAAATAATTTGAGAACTATAGCAATGTTTAAAATATTACCCACTAATGAATTCCACATTCAGTATTATGTTAACAGTCAAAGAACTTCTTCTTTCTTTTTTCCTCAGAAACCGTTCCGGTCTTAGTGAAATCTGAATTGAAGGAATCAAAGTATGTAAATGAACAGGGAGTACAAGGCAATGTTGATTTGCTATCATCTAGTACTGTAAATGAACCTGAACAATACGAAGATAAGCCACTGGAGAAAGTTTATGCTGTGGACCCTTCTGGATGTTGTATTGCTGTCAAAGATAGCAGTGAATCTGGGGTTCAGAATTCAGAAAGGGTACAAAGTCAATCATCATCCAGCATTGCGGAAGCCAATTGGAGTGAGACTCCCCATCGTTGTGAAAGTGAACCAAAGAACCACAAACAAGAAAATAATTCACATTCTGCAACTCATTCACATGCTACTGGAACTGAACACGCAGCTACTGATGATGTGCATTCAAATTCACATGGTAATAATAGTAGCACATCCAATACAAATAAACATTCTCCATCTGGCTCAATGGGACAAGATCCTTTGACTAATGTGATCCATATCTTGCCAGAAACGCTTGTCACAGGCGCTGTAAATGTTGCTTCTACAGCATATAGCACAGCTCGAGCCGTCATCAGTAATTTGCAGCATCGAACTCGTCAGATTGGGGTTTGTGATATATATTTATTAATTTTATTGTAATACTTTAGTTATGACCAAAGAAGCTATTTTGCTATAATCTTAAGCATGTCACAAAATTTTCAATAACTGTGCCACAGTCAATAAGAATCCCTCATGATCTCATTTGACACCACTGAGGTTCCGGTTCGATTCCCATAGAATCCCCCCAAAATCTCATGTGTTTGTTACGACAAAACAATTTTGCCTGCTTCACACTAGCTAGTTCAACCCTCTGTGAAGCGTCCTAAATCTTACCCCCCTCCTTATTCTTTCCCAATTCTGGCCGATAGTTAAATAAAGCAGGACACGTGCAAGACGTGAGCGCTAAGACACTTCCTATCGGTAATTCCCTGACTTGTCTGTGACTGACATGACTTGACTATCCGGTGGCCCCTAGAGGGTGCTGGATGCATAATAATGGAGGATTACTCCAACAGAAATGAACGGAGGATTACTCCACAGTGTGTACAATGGTCCTTAAGAAGCTAGGAGACACTTTACGTCTATATAGACGCAACAAATTAAAAATTAAATAAATTTCATGTTGATAAATTCATTAGTATACTTAAATCAGTTCATACTGATGTACAGAAAGACAACAATTGATTTGATGTGACATACATTTTAGAAATCGAATTGGAGTTGAAAAAATGTTTATAAGTTGCAGAAAGCAGTTTCAGCATATCTGGTTTATTTACATGTATTGATTGTATTTGTGAGTAGAAATGCTTCAAATGTTTTTCAATTAAGTTTCTCAAATTCTCGGTAGCTGTGTGCAACTACACATTCATGAGGGATAAGTTGGAAATTAAAATCCCTGAGCATCACTCGAACCACCGACTTTTTGGTCCGAAGCCCTGAATTACACTCCACTACATTTAACCACTTTGGCCAACCGGGATGGACATGAACTTTACACTTCCACGCTAATCTTAAAGTAATGGTTATGTCAGTTCTAGCATTAGGGAGCTCAAAAATTGAGAAAATGTGGAAAATGCCCTTTTGGCAACAAAGAAGACAGCTGAGAAGAGAATAAGACCTAACCGAAAAGCTAGTCCAGACTAAAAAAATTAAAAAACTAGTGTGAGAAAGTCTGTGCTATTCTATAGTTAGCTTGTTTATTTATTTACCATACGTTGTTACATACGAGGAAAAACTATAATGAAATAATTTTGGGCGGATTTTGAGAAAATATTTTTTTAAAGAAATTGCATAAATTTCAGACGCTAATTAAACAAAATTGGTTTTTTCTTCTTCCCCCCTCTCTCTTTCTCTCTTCAAAATTGGTGCCATTTTTGAGAAAAATTTGAAAATGTTTTTGAGGCTTCTTGTGAAGTACCCTGAAAAATTAAAATATCCATTTGAAACTCCCAAAGCCATGAGTTCATTGAAATCGATTGGGAATTATCGATTTTGAAGAAAATTGGCTAAACGGTTTAGGCGCTAGCTGTGACCAGACAGACAGACATTTTGCCACCAATCAATTTTTTAATATTAAAGAAAACATGGATTCTGGCTATAGCAAGTGGTAGAAGATTTTTTTCTTCTAAATTTAGCAACAGGAGTGATCCACTTTTTCGTCACAAAGTCCTGTTATGAAGAGTTTTTCTGCCGAAAATTTGTCATATTCCTCCAAACAATTACATAACTTTCTCTATTTAATAAAAATTTCATAAGGCAAGAAAGTAACAATGATGGAGGCGTTTTCAGTGTCAGCATACAACATACATAATTCTGTGTGTAAATTGACAAAAATTTATATGAAACTGAAATTAATATTATTCTTAAATTATTTTAATATTAACTATATAATTTCAAATTCCAACAAATATTTTCCTTGACTTTAAGTACATGAAAGTAAATAAATGTTCAAATTAAAAATGCAATTACTTAAAAAAATTCAGGGTGATTTACTCTCCCATCTCTTGATGCCACTGCTGTGTCCCCAGATGTGGCCGAGGACAAATTCCATTGACATTAAGAGTTACACTGGGACAGCGGTGAAATGAGTGTTAGGGTTTAACACTTCAATATTTATGCTATTAATTTGTTGTTTCTGTATTGTTTTAAATATATTTTTTTAAACTTAATTCCTATTATTGAAAAATTTTCTTTACTTTTAGGAAGGACAAGAATGGCAATGGAATGATCTTCCTGAAAATGCTGTACAGCCAGACAGTACAACCACAGGAAATTTAGAACTCCTTCAGGAAATGGGCTTCAGTAATAGGATATTAAATGTCCTATTACTACAGAGATATGATAATGATCTTACTAAAGTTGTAGCAGAGCTGTTATCACTTGAAGGGTAATCTTCAAGTGATAACTATTGGATGAGTGTAATTCTTATAATTAATCCATTTATGCTAGTACAATCTGTTTTCTTCTCATTATTTTGTTATGAACTTATTTTCAAGAGATTTGGGAAGTGCAAAAATGTTTTGTTATGTGTTCAGATGTAAATTGTAACTGTTCTGGCCAGGCACCTAACCTTGTATCATTTGATAAAATTTTTTAAATGTTGATACATCTCGATACCTGAAAACTGAAACTTGAAATGTTAAATGAAATTTAATATAAATGGTTCATAATACATACTTGGCATAAATGGATTGATTTTATTGTATTATCTTATGATCTGTAATGTGTAATTATTGGAGATGGGAAATCATATTGTAAGTGTTTGAATGTCAAAAGTTTTATTATTTTTTTATTGCATATACATTCATAGTTGTTTTGTTCTTTGTTTGCACTTGTGTATTACTTGGCCACAACAAATCAATCCAAAATTTCAATGCACTAAAAAACAATGGTTGTTAAAGTTGAAATATTCTTCTGATATTCTTGCATAAAGATAAAATGTATATACAATGTGACTGCATGAGTGTAGGAACAGAAAATATGACAGTTGTTAGCAGGGATAATACTCTGATTGATGCAAAATTTAATGAAAACTTTTTTCTTGTTTCTTGTCTCAGTTATGATGAAATAGGTGTCCTTACTTTTTAAAAGGCAACTTCTCACTTGGAATCTGTATATTTCTATTATAATATCCAAATGCTTTTGAATCTGCATTTTGTATTATGCATACTGGAATTCTATATGGTTTGAGGAAGAATGAGAAATACTTTTCATCAAATTTCCTGGTCTAAAACATGACTTTTGTTGGACTCCCTATGAATGTTTGGAAAGCAATTTTGTTGACATTCATTACAAGTCATAAGAAAAACCCGAAAGTTACTTAAAAATTCTCTCAATCCTTGAATTGCTTTTTACTCTGCTTGTGTTTACTATAGAATAATCATGATTTTTCCTTTTTTAACTTGGAAGGTCTTCATTAAAAATAATCTAAAGAATTATTTGAAGTATAATTATTTGCAGAACTCTTAAAGATTGTTCATAACTTGAAATCTGATAATTGCTTGCCAACTACTGTACTGAGCAGAACATCTATGAATTCATTAAAATGCATGCATGCTGTAAAAGAATGTATTTGATGTAAGTGGGGCCAAATCAATATGAAATGAATTTTGATAAACTTAAAACATTCATTCATAATTAAAATAATTTTATTGATGTCATTGCATTTCTCTAACTGTACAACAAAAATATAATGTTATTCTTATTACAATGTTTTTGTCTTCTTAGACAACAGTAGACATATATGGCTCAGGCATTCTAATAATCTATTTAAATAATCTGAAACTGCAAGAAAATTTTAAATTAAGGCAGACCCTAAGGTAACAATATCCTCAATAATTTTAAAAAGGAAAAACAAATTTACCGTGATTATGGAGTAATTTTCTTTTTTGAAACTAACCGGCCAATATAAATAAATTGGGGGAATTGTTTAAGTGTCAAATTTTAATATATGAATTAATGGCCACCCTGGGGAGCAAATCAAATACAGTTATGGAATAAAAGAGGGAAGAAATTCTTGTAAATGGGATAAAGGAATAAAAAGCCATAGCAGACTACAGTATCATTTCTTTGTAGATATGATTCTCGAAGAGAGTTATTAAGTTAATAAACCAGAATGAAAAAATTGTCAAAATAATCCTGTAGCACACAGCACTGTGAGTAAATAAAGAATTCTCAAACGGTTTCTTTTTGTAAAAGATTTATCGAGAAACACAAGTGCCCATATGGGCTATATAGTATTTGATAAATCAGTAACTTTTTGTGTGTATACTATGACATAGAGTGCATGATGTATGGTGTGATGTCAATATACAAATGAAACTTACCAAGTCAATTTTTGATGTTTTTAAGTTATTTACATCACTAAGTCATATTTTTTCTATTTTTGATTAGTGAAGTCTGGAAGTTTTGATGTACTAAATAATCAATTATTTCCTTTTTAACTAAGTCATACAACAATGAAAATGGGAAGGAAAAATCCATATGTGGATATAATATATTAACGAGTAATTACAGGAATTTTAATAGTAAATCACTACCCTCTTAATATTACCAATAATTAATTTCTATGTAGTTTTGCCCTCAGAGGCATGCAAATCTGGGAAAAAATTTTACGTATTTTTTTAATTCCATCATAGCTTTTATCTTATAAGAACATCACTTGCAAGAAAAACTATTTTCTGTAACATGAAAACTTTGCTGATAGATTCAGGTGGTCATTTGCGTATCTGGATTACATACTGCAGTCCCTGAACTTCAGTTGTGACAGGCATTATCAGATTGCAACAGAATAGCATTGTAAAAATTATAATTTTTTTCGTTTGTTTCTGAACAAAGTAGACTTAAGTCTCTGGTGATATTAAACATTTTACTTACCAATTTGCCTCGCACAAAGAATGCTTTAGGAAGAACAGAATTCATGAAAAAACTGCTGTGCAAAAACAGTGTTTCTCAGTAAATAATAAGAACCCTTTATCTCGCAACGAAGAATACAGGTTTTTTTACCACTCAAAATGAATTGCTCTATCTGCAAATTCATAGGTCATACTGTTTTAGGCATAAACTTTGTTTGGACATTCATAACCACAAAAGACATACAAAACTCTAGATAATAATGAAAATGACAAGTAAAAAAAAAATTATGAACATATAATACTCAGTGTTACAAGAACTAATCTTTGAATTTTGCAGCTAATTCATTATACTTTATTACTGAAGATAACCAAGATATATAATCTTGTTAAAGTGTGTGTACAGCTGACAAGAACATGCAATTTTGAGAGAATGTTATACATGAAGGGAACTGCAAACCTTAAAACTAAGAATATTAATGTTTGTTTGATTGTCACATCATGAAACATTTTAAATGAATGTATCTCAAATGCTATTAGAAATTAAATGAAGGCAGCTTTGGCTTTAAAAAGTTAACTCACGTTTGTTCTGTGTATTGTATCTTAATTTTGGGTATAATATGAAATTATAAATAGCACAAGATTTTTACTAGGCAAAGGCATGTGCATATTGGGGCTCATCACTGAATTACTTGACATTTCAAGACTGAATTTTTGCTACTGTTATATTCAGATTGGTCCCCAATTACTGTCGTGGTACTTGGTCATTGACTCAGAATCAACCCAGGATTGTATGTGCTTAACAAAGCAGTTTGGCGCTACCTGGATGCTGAATTTGTTTAGTATTGTGTAGAAATGATATTTTGCAATTGGTATGCAAAATCAAAGAAATTAATTATGACAAGGGTGTTCAGTTTATATGAACACTCTATCAATTTTTTTCAGTGGGTGCACTAATTTAAGGTATGTTATCAACATTATGTATTATAACAGATTTATTTCTTAAACTCTAATTATTCATTACAATGCACAGTACATATGAGTATTACAAAATGCTAACCATTTACTTTTGGACTCTATCATTTCCTGAGAATTAAAAGTGATGTTACAAGAAATTGTGTTCATCATTCTTACTAAGCAGACAATTCAATTACTAAAACACTACAGTGTTAAACCAGAGTATTTGTATTCTCGTTCTTGCCACACATTCTCCTAATTATAGTACAGCATTTGCAATGAGTTTAATTAGGAAAGTTGGAAATTCCAAGAATTGTTGTTTCTTCTTGTTGACTGTTGTACTGTGTGTGTTGACTGTTGAATGTGTTACTGTCACATTCATGCTGGAAATTGAATTGGCCAAGTAAATATAAGTTGTCACATAATGCAATTAATAAATTTTAGTATTGATGGCTGTATTAAATAAACTGTAGTGCGCCACATAAACGTGTTGCTTTGAAGTTGACACTGCAATGATTATTCTGAAATTAATGTAACTGCACTTACTTTAATGTAGTCAAAGTTAATTTCACTGGACAGGGTGTATGGATGTATTGCCATATTTATATGTAGTGAATTAAAGTAAAATGTGAGAACAGTTGTATTCTTTCCATCAGTATATCCCCAAATAAGCTGTGAGGCTCTGAGAGAAGGTGTTTTGGGGGAGTGCTTTCTGGCAAACAAATTTCCATAATATGCATGGGTCTAATGACAAAAATACTGAAGAACTTGTTCTACCCTATATCCTTTAATTTTGAGTCATTTACTTTTTAATATGAGTAGCTCACTTCCAAAATGCATAATTCTGTTGAAACATTGCATTTTGAAATGAAATGACTGGACTTCACTGGATGCAGAGAGTATGTAAGTGACCGGATGTGCATGAAAAAAAATCTTTGAGATGTTACATAGTCTTAACTCGGGAGGTAAAAAAAAAAGTTCCATGCCTGCAGATGTTTGAGCATGAAAGAAGAATTTTATCTGAGTAAATGCTTAATACATTTGAATTCATAAACAAAATATATTCACTTTTCTTTAAAAAATGTGCACCATCATGCTTCTGTTAACTATTACATTAATTCTGGTTTGTATCTCCAAGTACTACGGTGTGAGAAGATTAAGCTGGTAGAAACTAACTGAGCTACAATAGCAGATATTTTCTCATATTATTTGAAACTTGTATCTCATTAATTCTTTAAGTCACATCATGAGAAACTCTTCCGCAAAAGAAGTACAGAAGAGAGATATTAATAATTTTCAAAATGTCAGAGGTTTTAATGAAAATCTTAATTATTGCTTATTTATAAGTGCTTTCTTCTATTAAAGAAATAAAGGAAACATGGGAATCAAATACCACATTCAATTTAGGAAGCAATACAATACAATGTTTGCATGTTTGTGTATATCTGCTTTAAATTTTAAAGATATCTCCTTAAGATTTTAAATGTCTCCTTAAGATTTTAAGACTAGTAGCTCTTCTGCTAATTGACTATTTTTTTTAGGTAATATAAAGAAAAAGATATTTCTACTCTAGAACATTTTTTTAAATTTCGAGAAAATGAGGGATTGAAGAATGTGTTCCCAAGTAAATGCCATGAAATTAAAAACACCTATAATATCTGTTGGGGTAAGTTTGATAAATATCATGAAGCAAATTGTTTGAAAAAATTACAAATGTTACATTTTTGAAAATTGATAAGTTATCCAAGGAAATAATACTGGGAACATGGAATTTAGTGTGTTGTGCTCTATCCTTATAAAAAGTTGAAAGAAGAAATTGGAGCCTTTTGAGAAAATCTTGTGTAAGTATTTTTTTAAATCGTCACCTTCACCCAAATTTTCCAGAAAACTATTTTGAAAAAATTGAATTTTCAATTATATTGTAGATTTTGATTCAATTTTTTTTGTTTTGTTTTGTTTGCAGTTTTCAACAATCTAGAGGAAGTAATGAAAATTGGATCTACACCATTTTATAAATCCACTTTGCCATTTTGGAGAAAATTTTGAAAAGGTCCTAAGAGCCTCATGTAGAGTACCCAAAAGTTAAAAGGTTGGTTTCAAATTTGCAAGGCTTTATTTGTGGCCAGATTGAAGTAGGAATATTAATTTTTTGATAAAATTGTGTGTATGATTTAAATTAAAATAGATTCAAAGGAAATATTTCTAATAAAGAAATGGGGAAATAAAATTGCAATTTCCTTTTGGATGGAAATATGACGGGAATTATTAGGACAGTATAACGGGTTATTAATGAACGGGTTTGGAGTGATAACAAGGATTTGGAAAATGTCTTACATTTTTAACATTCTAATGTGGGTAAACAAAAACCTTTTATTGGAAGCCATTTGCAATAATTCTCTACCTATACTATATCATCATGGTGGGTGGAGGCATGGGTGCTTTCACACAATATGGTAACTTCCAGCAGGAAATTCTTCCCCTTCCTTGCATATATTAATTTCTGTATCGAACATTTAGCAAATGCATTTCATGTAGCATTCACTCAAAACCAATTGAGGGGTTAGATAGAAGAAGGGCGTAACTCAAATTATGGAGTTTATATTTAAAATGTTCTTTAGGTGACTTTCCACCACCTGTCCATATGGTACAGCACTAATCCCAATAGATGACGTTTGAGAGTCTTTAGAAATTCTGAATTGCGCCCTTTTTTCATAACATTGTTACCTCTACGATCTTCTTCCTGGTGTTTAGAATATCAACACGATGGCGGTGAATACAGAAGATGTGAATTTGTCGGATATATCTGAATTTTCATCATATGATAGAGACTTTAAGCCTCCAGATGATGGTAATACGTCTTCAGATGCTTATTTCGTAGTTTTGAAGATAAAAATAAAGGATGAAAATGGATAACCTTTCCAAAAATCAGAAAACAAGAATTAATGAATCTTAATTAACCTGGATGAAAATGTAAATTGTTCTGTATTACTGAAATTACGAAACGCATGCAGCATTTGAAAGAAGAAAATTATTATTATATCAAAATATGCTTGTTCTGTGGAATAAGAGCATAATTCAATATTTCAAATTAATGTAAATCTACATTTCAAGATGGCTGTATTCAAGTGGCTCTGGAATATGCTGAAGTCTGGGAAAGATATAATGGAGGAGGAAGAGAAAATGGAAGTCTATCATAGAGAAACACATTGGAATAAAGTGTTAAAGTATTAAAAGAATCACTATGTACATTTAATATCAACAACTGAAAATATTTGATGGTACAAAGCACATGTAATAGGGCTAATAACATTATGACATTCAAATATCTCTTCTTTTTTTATACTTAATTAAGGTATGTAATATTTGTATTGACGAATTAAAGGTATACCTAAACCAGATTTTATGTAAAAGCCTAATTATGTTTTGGTCTGGTAAAACAATCTTTGCAGGTTTGACACTTTTCATTTGCAATTTTTCTACTGACATTCATTTGAATTTGATGATTTAATCACTTTTACAGTCTTTCTAAGGGTGGTAATACAAGAGATGGTTTTGTAGCTCGATAGACCTCCACTTGAAGAGGATGACAGATAGAATCAGGAATTTCTTGTCCAACCGCTATAGATACATCACCTGTAAGAATTAAGAAATGTGTTTTATAGACTTATAAACAAGCATGAAAGTAATAATTCACTTTGAATGTTCAAATGAATTCACCATGAGGACATGCACTCAGTGCTACCAATAAATCCATATCTGCAATAAATTCAATGTAATCTCCTTTTCGAGCAGGGCTGGCCTTTGTGAAGTATTGATGAGTATCACGGGAGAAGCCAGTACACATAAAAATATTCCAAACATCATGTACATCTTCTTCCTGTAATCCTAACTTTTCAACTGCTTTCGTAAGATATGTATGGCAAGAATCCTCACTCTCCTTCCCCGTAATGAGTTTTGTAGTATAATTGTCACACCTTGTACCTATAATTGAGAAAGATGCCCCAAAAATACATATAATACGCATTAAATTGAGAAAGTATCAATTCAAGTATGTATGTGTGTATATACATACATGCATACATACATACATACATACATACATATAAATTATATAATTAACTAAATTTAAGAAATAAAAATTTTGATAAAGTAGAATATGTTAAAAATACTGACCAATTACATCATGAACAGAAGCGCCATCTTCATCAATGCCATATGCTTTTAGGGAATCGCCAACAACTGTTGCCATGGGTCGAAGATAAGGCAGTGAACTCCATAACCTATCATATACAGTCAAGTGTGCTGAATGGAGCTGGCGTGTTTTACCTACATTGAAAAATGGAGCAAGATAGTAATTGATTGAATAATACCTTCGAGTATGAGGGAAAATGAAACAATTACAGTAATAATAGTACAATACCAGAATAAAATTTCTCCTTAGTGTTATGGAGATTCCAAAAATTAACATCCCCAACCTGTAATAAAGAAAATTAAGATCTCGCTTACATTCAAAAGGCAGATAAGCAGATTCGTCAAGGTAGGATCTGTGAATGGTAAGTGTGTAACAAGTAGCTGTGTTTGGGGCAGACAAAATGAAAATTGGTTCACGGCCTGATCAGTGGAAAGAATTAGATTACAAAGTTATTCGCAAACATTACATAAAATATATTTCCATCATCAGGGCTATAATGTACAAGATCAAATAAGCAACAATAACCACTTTAGCCTACTCTACCTCACACATTACTGTAAAAAATATGGAAAGAAATAATGAAATATAATTACAATTCCTTTCAACCACAAAACAGAAAACAACTAACTGGAGATACATATTCTTGCAGGTATATGCAGATACAGGTTCTTGCAGGTATGCCACGTGATGTATGGAACATTTTTAAAGGAACACCAAACCAACACACACTGTGTTTGCTAATTGTAAAGTGTATGATGAAGTGACTATTATAAATATATTGTTGTTCTTTTGATCTTGAACATTATAGCCCTGTTGATGGAAATATATTTTCTGTAATGTTGGCAAACAATATATAGTTTGATTCTTTCCAATGACCAGCCTTGATTATATTTATGGTCGTAAGGATTCTCCATGATTCAAAATGCAAATGAAGGAGATAATTCACATAAGTTAATGCAAATCATTTGTGATTATGGAACTATGATCATCATTATTATAATTTTTTCAAAATCCTTTATTGTAGTGATAATTTTGGAATAGTTACAAATCTTTTAACTTTTCCCATTTATCACAATCTATTCTTTTTGAAAGAGAGATCTTCAAACTAAGTTTAGTCCGTAACTTTTTTTCATTTGAACCAGGTTTTTCCATCTTAACTGAAGAAAGGTTTTGTTCATTAACATTACACCATTAGATTAACATATCCTCACTTGTTTCTTTTTTTGCCATCTTTGCTTACGCAACGTGTCACCAAACCCTTGTTGAACAGTGAGTAACTGGTATGGAGTGATCCTCCGTTATTATTTTTGCAAGTCTCGTCACATCACATCACAATCAGTCAGTGCCTTTTATCTCTTCAGCCAGGAGCTCAGTGCCTTAAGTTACCAGGCTTCCTAGACGGTCACCCAACCAGGAACCTGCAAGATCTCCAATTCGCCTAACCTACGTGTCTTCACAGAGCATAGTTAAGGAATTCGGCTAGTAATGCTGGCTAACATAGTTCTTCGACAAACTCACTAATCTTATTGGTGGTACAATCTTGAGACGGAAAAGTATTAATGTTTGCTTATGAGGGACGTAATTAATCCACAATAGGCACCTCGCAATTTTCCATACAAAACCATCAAAGTTTAAAGCAAAAAGATTTCTAAAGTAAAATAAAATACAATTGGTTTTTGACTTAAACATTACCATAATTTGTTTGCTCAAAATTGTATTAATTGTGACTACCCTGCAAAGCGTAATTTTAAAATCAAGTAGTAATTTTTTGAAAATTAAAAACAAGAAAAATATCTTTAAGGATTAGTACAAATATTGTTACAAAATGTTGTAGTTTTTCATTATTGTGGATATTTCCATTTTATTGAAGAATTTACAGAAATACTTTATCCCATTCTTTCCATTTAATGAAAGGTAACAAACATAGTTTTCTCTAAAAATTACCTCTCAAATTAAAATGCTTCCGAGGTGTCTGACTACATACTAAATACCATCCAAAACTGATGGACACATTCATCATGCTGAAACCTTAAGTCAGGGTGACTGCGGCCTTTCCAAGCTTTGTACAGGAGGTAGACCTGTTCCCAATTTGTTTTCAGAGCTTTCAGTTTGGTTTCATGACATTTTGATTATGATTTTGAGGTAAAGTTAAATGAATAAATCATTCTGTTGATGAGTGGCCATTATTTATTATTATTATTACTGTTATTATTATGATTGTTATTATTGTTGATTATTATTATTATTATTATTATTATTATTATTATTCCAACTTACCTGTGATCCTTCAACAACAGTAATGCGACACAAATCTCCACGTTGCATGGTCCAGGTTCTTGCTGATTTCTTGGGAACTCGTAGTTCCTCTATTTTCTCTCCTAAAAGCGCTTCATGTCTTAATGTGTCGTAAAGGGCGTGGTCCACACCAGCAGCTGCAGGTTTATCATAGCATATTACTGGTTGCCTTTTGAGGAATGTTCGTGGACGATCACCTTTACCACACCATCCTGTTTTGCATTCAGCCATGTTGAAGAGTATATCTGCAATATTTTAAACATTTAGTTAGAAATTTCCTCAATCTTTTAACATTAAGTAATATAATGACAACAATAATAATATTAATAATACAATGAACATTGATCAAAGTTTGTAGTGTGTGAATGCTGTCAACTCAAATATTTTTCTAGTATGGAAAGAGAAAAAGAGTTGAGAAAATTAATATAAATATCTCTAAAATTTAATTTTAAAGGAAATTAGTAAAGAAATGAAATTTTCAACATAAATAGTATGGCAGGTGTCAGCAACAGTTCAGTAAGTTGAGCAGAAGTACTAAATGTTGTCAAAACCATAAGTTTAACAACTAAATCATCCATGTTTTTTTTTTTGTGCACACCTCTTAAAAACACATTACCATGGACTTCTTTTAATGTTTCCAATGAGGTAAAATTACTTCTATTCTTTGCTAATGAGATATTCAACATTTCAATTTAACTAGTCTCTGATGTCTGACACATATGGGACTGGACTTTGTCAGATTATAGAAATCTGTCAGATAACTAGTTTTCCGATAGAAAAAAGGAATTAATTAAATTGAAGTGTTTATTTTATTGAGAAAACTCTTATGGTGTTAAAAGTACCTAATAAAATAAAACTAAATGTACATTTGTATAAAAGAAAAAGACGTTCAAACTGCAATTTACTACCATGACAAACAGCATCTTGAAATGGTACATGATGAAGGCTTGTATCGGACAGAAAACGTATGACTTCAGAAACTCAACTGGATAAAAGAATAAAAACTGGTATTTTAAACTACATTCTAACTTTATTGTTTTGTTCTATCCCGAATTGTTGAAGGAAGAATACTATTAACTAAATCAAAGGGCTCTGGAAGTGGGGTACTGAATGCTGAAAAGGCATAATAGAAATGACCTCATTTGCTTTCTATGTAGGAGTATAAAAACACAACAGGAGGGGGAAACTCAAAAATTATACCTTCCTAAATAAAAAAAAATTCAATTCTTATATAATTCATTCTGTTCGGCTTGCTTTTAAAAATTGATTAGACCTCAACCCTTTTAACAAAATTAACTAAAATCTACTGTTGAGGATGATATGAAATTAGTGACATTTCACATGGGTCTTTCATACAAACACACAGAAAATGATGGATGTTATGTAATTATATAAGCTATTCAGAACTTTAATGTACACAAAAAAATGCAGTGAATAACCTATTAAAATTACAGCACACCGAAATGGATATAAAATGAACTGAGTTTTGTATTTGCTAATAGGCTTGAACATTGTTAGATAAGCAAGACATCAAAAATAGGTTATATATATTATATATATAAATATATATATATATATATATATATATATATATATAGATTATATAAAATTTGGTGTGTTAATAGATAAAAATTATTGAACTATTTTCACTATAAAGTAAAAGTAGTTAAAAGGAGATTTTAATGTATTTATAAACATAACATATTAAAGCGTTCAGTTTTAATCTTCCTTTCAAAGCCGTCGCTTTAAGCTTCATAACTTTTTTTCTATTTTCATTTCGTTATTTCATGATCATAAATCCCGCCTTCTGATACAGTAATATGAAAGAAATCAAACTGGTACAGAACATAAACTACGTTATCGAACATCAGTGTGCACTCCACTCTAATAAATTACAAATCTCATAAAATAATATAAGCCCTTGACTGGAAATCAAAACAACGATTTCAAAATACAATTGTTTAATATTCACACGTACATGTGATCCGCAACAGGTGTCACTGTCGAATGTCGTCCACAAGCAGCTTGGGTTAGGGGTTGTCACAACAGATGCTAGCGAATCAGACTGCGTGTTATTACAGTCGCCAGCCTATATATGTAACCGGCTAATGTCACAGTGACTCGCAGCATTACAAGACATCTACGTTATCTCTTAACGTTGACTGCTTGCGACTTTGCAATGGACCATGATGCGAAGACCGCTACGTCACTCGAGTCAACCATGATACAAGCCTGTACGAGCAAAAGAGCGTAGTCAGCGCTGGCAAGGACGGCGCGTGTAGAGCAGAGAGTATATTTAGAGTGTGTAGAGTGAGCGTGAATAGAAAAGGTGGAATGTACGATATAACTGGGCTTGTAATTCCACAACTGCATACTTCCATCTCAATTTATCTTGCAACCATAATTTTGAGTAATTTTTTGCAGAGCGATATTGCTATTTCTGCGTTCAGATAGAATCTCACAACGTGCCTGTAGAACGATAGAATTTGTGCCAAATCTCATAAATTACTGAGACGGATATAATGAAGTATAACCTGGATTTACCTCTGCCCGAAGTCTTTTTGAAATCAGCTCATTGTCGACATTTTGCATCAAACTTGTGAAATTTACAGTTTATTTTTCATATATTGATTTTGTATTCGGTAATAATTAAAAGTAGAAAATTCTTATAAAGATCATAAGTAGACTTCGAATTTTTAGACGAACGTCTATTATTGTCCTTTTGGCGCAGACACGAGACTAATTATAAGTGCTTGCATGGCATATATAAAAATTTCGCCATATTTTACTAATTTCAAATGATCACTGAAATTGAAAGTTATACGGTCTCTGGCCATGTGAGAGGTGTGTGTGGTGAGCCATGTGAGAGGTGTGGTGGGCCATGTGAGAGGTCTGGCCATGTGTTTAATAGGAACTCGAAAACAATTCCAAAATAATAGTGCTACAAAAGCACATAATTTCTCACATTCTTTCTAAATTTGCAATTTTCGAAAATTCAGAGTTCAACGGAAATGAGGTCTGCGTTATTCTTATAAATGTTCCTAGTTCTATCCGTAGAAAAAATGTTGAAGAAAAAATTGGGAGCGGTTTTTGAGAAAATGTTTTTTTAATACATTGCATATTACGCTAAAGTATTCGTTTTTTCAAAAAAATGCACATAGCGGTTTTTAGAGCTGATTTTTTTTTTGAACAGATTTTGGTCAGGGCAAAAATCTTTCTTCAGTTTTGTAATTTGGAAGTGTTAAAACTTTCGAAAATACAGAGTTCGCCGAAAATGAGGCAGGCACCACTTTTTTACCATCCTTTGATACATACGAGAAGAAATTTTAAAGAAAACATTTTGAGCTTTTTTTTTTTAAGAAAAAATGTACAATATTAAAAATTTCCTATATTCCACGCAAAATCACGCGAAAACTATTCGTATATTGGAACATTATTTCAAGGTCTGACTTGGAAGAAACTATTTCATAAACGAAAAAATCTCTATGTGCAATATTGTAGTTAAAGGAAGACACCGCTTTCTGTTATACGTAAACGATATACCGTCGTCTATTAAAAACGGAAGAACGGTTCTGTTTGTCGATGACACGAATGTTCTTTGCAAAAAAGAAACAATAAATTGTACGATTTTAGAAGTTTCAAATAGATTTTGTAATAACAAATTAATAGTTAGTGAAGGAAAAACAGTTTCAATGCATTTTTGCCTTTCAAATCAGCAATCGCATACTCCATTGAAAATGAATAATTTGCAATTAGGTGATATTCAGGTAACAAAATTTCTAGGTCTGTCAATTCAATCAAACCTCAAATGGAATGTACATATAACAAAACTAATCACTAAATTAACATAACTTCATTATGTCACGCATTCAGAATTCTATCAAGTCTTCATGCAGCTTGTTGCGTGTATTTTGCAAATGTACATTCCTGCCTGAGATATGGTATAAAATTCTGGGGAAACTCATCATGTAGTACTCAGACCTTTAGATTGCAAAAGAAAATTATTCGAATAATGAAAAAATACCATCCGTGTTACCCTTACAAGCCTTTCTTCATTGAGCTTAGAATCTTATCCCTGCCTTGCCTATATAGTTACGAATCTGTAATATTTGTCAAATGTGACTTAACGGTGGGAACATATTTTCTTTCAATACTGATATTTATAATTATAACACACGTCGTAAAAATCACGTTCATCAAGTGTCAGTATCAACAGCTCACTATCAGAAATCCACATATGTATACGTTATTTTACAACGCACTGTCAGATAACATTAAACAATTGATGTCGGATCACAAATTTAACTTAAAAGTAAATTCTTTTCTGCTGCATAACTGTTTCAATACAATTAGAGACTATACTGATTATCAACAAGTAAAATAAGGTTTATTTTAACAAAACAGTGATAAATAACGAATTAGTTTACATTTGTATTATATATTTTTTTTGAAAGACTTAATATGTTTGTAACAAATAATGTACTTCAGCTTTGATCATGGGTCAATGACCCCCATCTCGATCAGGTTGTTGTCCATTTTCCCTGATTGAGCAAATGCTGAGATGGCCCCTTGTTTTGCTTCTGGACGTAAATGTAGCTTCACTATGCGCACTTTTTTGTTGAACTCTCCTTTTGCTTGTAATGGTAAGAGTAGAGGTAAGGGCGAGTTGCTATTTTGTTAGCAATGCAGAAAAATCATACTTTTAATTCGTGTACAGATGCAAATAAGATTTCTATAACTCAGAAACGAAAATGACTATTTTTCAAATATTGTTATCTTGCAATTTTTAAAATTTATTTTTATTTATTTATGTTAAACGTATATTCATCTTCCAACTATTTATAGTTAAAATGACGGGAAGGGATTCAGGAACTCAAGAAAACGTGCGCAGATAATCTTTTCCCCCTACGTCACACAGTTTTTACTATTTTTTACTGAATAAATATGTCTAAATGATACCGAAAAAATTTGAACTTGTGCAATTTTCGCAAATATCGGGGATTTCAACGGTAATGAGACCTGCGCCATTGCCTTATGCGTCTTTTACGCCATCCGAGGACACAATTTAAAGAAAAACGTTGAGACTATCTTTTATAAAATTTTGAAAATGTTGAGGATTTAATTTAAATTACCCCTCCAAAATAAAAATATCCGTTTCAAACTCCGAGGCCCTCGAGTTCATTTAAATCGATCGGGGAATATCAATTTTGGATAAAATCGGCTGAACAGTTTACGTCACTCTTGTAGCGTTGACCATAGAGGGAGAGACGGACGGACGGACGATTTGCCGTCAATCGATTTTTCGGTATTAATAAAACATGGACCAATAAAACATGGATTCTGACTGCACATCGTGTTAGAGGAAGTACTTTACTATATGTAGGAACACGGATTATCCACTTTTTCGTTACCAGGGCCCAGCAACAAGAATTTTTCTGTCGAAAATTCGCCTTATTCCGGCGCACGATTACAATACTTTCTCTTACGAAGTGCGAGAAAGTAAAAGCTTTAGATAAATATCAGTAAAGTACTAACTACTAATTTAAACTAAAGTGCGTAATTTTGGTACTGTTCAACGAGGTTTCCAGCAACACAACTAATAGTGCTTGCAATTAGATCATTTAATCTAATGAAAGGCCTACGGCATAGTCGCTAATTTCGTAATTTTCTGTCCTTTGATTTAATTCAGCAACATGGGGCTACAGGCCTGTGTAAATAATTACAACCTATCGTATAAGCAACTTCTTAAATTTGTGAATGCTAGATATTGATTTAACGGAAATCTCTAAAGAATTCTTCACATGTTTTATGGCCATCCTTACTACATAACAGATAGCTACAAGATCCGGTGAACAAAACGACAGGGTTTTAGAAACGTGATTGTAACTTTGAAATGGAGGTACTAAACACCATAAGTTATGAATTTTTAATGTACACAATTCCTAGGAATTATATTTATTTATTATTTTCGGTATTGGTTTAAGAGCAACAAATATTTTTTCGCAAAAAAAAAAAGCGACAATGCTGCTCTGACATCACGGTGGTAATTTTCGCCGCCGCCGCCGCCGTTCCTCCCCCCCCAAATGGGAATTGTCAACACATCATTTTTGCCGATATATAGTTTATTTAAAAACTTTTGTGGGAAAATAAAAGTTAGAACCTATACGTCTGTCTGTCTTTCCGTCCGTCCGTCCCGTCTGTCCGTCTGTCCGACCGTCCGTCCCGTCTGTCCGTCTGTCCGTCTGTCCGTCTGTCCGTCTGTCCGTCTGTCCGTCTGTCCGTCTGTCCGTCCGTCCGTCCGTCCGTCTGTATGTCCTTCGGGTCTTCTAGAGCCTAAACCATGTGTAGGATTTTTTCCAAAAAATTTTTCTTTAAACTTTTGGCAAGGATAGAGCTAAATGTACTCTATAAGATGATATAAACGCCATATTGCTGTATTCTTTTTTTTTAAATTACAGATATGTAATTTTTTTTGACTTGTCGTTAATATGTACATTAGCGGCGATTTGTTCACATTATTATATTTATAAATACATGTGCTTTAAATAATGTCATATAAAGTTTCTCGAAAACCCAACGTTTTTCTGTGAAAACTAGGTCTAAATTCCGCATTTTCAGAAACACTCAAACGCTTTTTTCTCAGAAACAGCATCAAACATTTCGAATGAATAGTACTAATGTACGTTTTAATATGACGTAAAGTTGACTTCGGGGTATTTTTTTGTTGTTTTTTTCAAAAACTACATTAATGTAATATTTTTGAAAGATCTCTCACGCCGTTAATATGCACATTTCCATCATTTTGAAAACATTATTGTATTTGTGAGTTAATGTACTTCAAATGAAGTTTTTCACAAACTCAAAAATTTTGTTCGGAAAAGAGCTTCAAGTTTCGAATTTGCAGTAGCGTTTAAGCGCCATTTTTTTGATTAAGGCTCCAAATTTTTCAAAGAAAATTGCAATTTAGGACGAGGTTGTACTGTTTTTTTTTATGATTCTTAAAATAACATTTCCGTTCTACTATTAGTAAAGAAAATGTCAAAAAAAATGTACATTGGGCGGCGACAGCTGGCAACTGGCAAGAGAATGTGGCAAGTCCGCAGGGCCGGATTTAAGTTGTGCGGGGCCCCAAGCACAAAATTGTGTCCCCCCCCCCGAAAAAATAGCTCCATCTTTATTAAATAAAATAATGTATTTTAGTACAAGTACTTTCTGAACAGATACAAATGAAAACTGATAATTTTTTATAGAAATTTTTACTTGTGTTACATTTTTACAATAAATACATACATAATTACAAAAAATTTACATATTCGGTATTTAAGTAAAGGAAATAAAGTATAGTTAATATTAGACTAATTTAACATGTAATAAATACTTTTTAAAAATGTTTTGAAATTGTACATTTTGTTACACAGTAGACTACTTGATTAACAATTATTTCACAGACAAAAAAATATGGTATGCGTGTTTTTCCGAAACGTGGGGCCGCTGGTGAATGGGGGCTCCCAAGCAACTGCTTGTTTTGCTTGTAGGTAATTCCGGCCCTGCAAGTCCGAGTTGCTAGCGAAGATCAAATGAAATTGAAAACTAATACGGTAAAGTCTGTGCCATTCTGCAGCACCACTTGTTGTTGTTGAAAGATAGGAATAGTGGTTCAAGACCAAGAATGCATTTGTATATACCGCTGGTGACAAGCATCTAAGGAGTGCCAAAATCAAAAGACAAAGTGAAACGCCCAATATTCAAGGAATAAAGCACGTCGTGCTAGTTGTGACACGTGAGCGAACACATGTTCATCTTATGTGCTCTAATGTACCTCCATGTGGCACTAATATTGAAATATGCTATGTAAAGAAGAGTTGACTTGAGTGGCGTTCAGAGTTCCTATTGCAAGAATAATAAAGAATATCAATTTAATACGGTTGAATGTGATTATCTGTATCAACAATGGAAGGAAGTGTTGAAATATTATTAAATCATCTTGAAAATAAAGAAAAGTGCGTTAATTCTGTAATTTTACGCTTGGCATCTTCACTGCTGAGTACTAAACATGTTAGTAGTGATTGCACCTATTTCAGAAAGAAGTTAGAAACACTCAATATAGTGATGAAAGTTGAATGTCTATCAAATCGAACCAAAATCCCAGAAAACGGGGAATATTTGCGTGTGATCGAAGAAGTTGTAGATAAGTGCATTAAAATTCTCTGTGGTCTTGCAGATGGGAAAGATTTATGCATACCTGTAATTTGTGATGTTTTATGTTCCTCCTTAGCACTGTTACCACCATATTTAATGAATGATAAAATCACAATTATTATGCATAATTGTAAAAGATTTTTGATGGAATTAGTGAAGAGTCCTTCATTAATGAGTGAAGATTTACAAAATTCATCTACTGAAGTTGTAAAATTGGGAATTAATTTACGCATATGGGAATCTGTTATTAGTTTACTGACTTCATGGGGAAACAAGTCTGAGTGTGCCGGGGAAGGGAATCCAAATAAAGATAATATATCTATATTTGATGATGAATTTATTGAGTTACTGTTGAAGATTATAAGTTATGAACATGATATTCTAACTTCCCAAATATTACTATGTGTCATTCCAAAACTAGTCTCTCTTACCAAAACTAATTCAGTATTAGAAAAACTTTGGAATTACATCACAGACCTTTCATCTGTAAGCAATGGCCAGAAAGTGACCCCTCATGTCTTCTTAATAATGTGTGCACTGTCTGATTATTTCATACCATGTGAACAAGATATATCCTACTCTTTCCCTGTGAGTAAAAATGATGAATTTTGGAGATTATTACAATGTGGTCTGGCTTCCCATGATGCATTAATGAGAAAGCAAGCATTGTATTTATTAAAAAGGGCTGTAGAGCGAGAATCAACTATTCCTTCTCTGGTTTGTAATAAATCAAAAGTGGTTTTATTTTGGTGGGATCAGCAAAATTCTCAAAATTTCCAAAAAATATGGGAGGAACTATTTCTTTTTCTAGAAGTTTTGGAAGAGAAACAAATGCATCTTATTGAACCTGTGCAGCCTGTCATCTCATCTCTAATCAAAGCATGCCAGAAATCTCTGATACATTCATCTTGGATTTTGTGTGTTATTCATCGAGCTTTGAGGCATGAAAGCAATGCTGTTGTAAAATGGGGTATTCTGTGCTTTACAGAGTTGGACATTAATCTGTATATGGTTTATAATGTGAACTATGCAGATATTGTGTTCTCATTGGTAAATGCTTTGAACAGTTCATCCATGTACATTATGAACAGTAAAAATTTGTTAGTGCCTGAAGTTGTGAGAGGGTTAAGGAGTTTCTTTGTTTCTATTGCTGATACTGATCCAGAGTGCCGTAAGAATTTTTTTAGACACTTATTAAAATCTATTGTCGAAGTCTCATGGGGTCCAGTGGCATTATTTTATGTTGTATTTGCATTAGCTGCTGTACCAAAATGTCCTGTGTGGGCTGCCCACAATATTCAGATAATGAAGAATTTTTTGGTGGAAGCTCTTGCTACACAAGTGGTTCATATACGAGGAGCTATTCAGTCTTTTTTTATTGATATATTAATAAATCTTACTGATGAACAACAATTAGAAGTGAGTGCAGTAGCTGAGATGATGGGTAGTTTCAGCAAAAGTGAGGGACTGAGAAGGGGATCCTCTTCTTGGCATAATGTTATTTTATGGTTGAAATCATTTGTAAGTAAAGCATGTGCTTTTAGGTATGCACAAAAATCCTTTGATGCAGTTATAAATGATAACCTGGAATGTGAGAAACTCACTGCTGCTAGAATGATCATTCTCTTATCAGATGCTGATTTAATTTGCCTTGATGCCTTTAATAGTAGTGGCTTGTACAGTTTAAGTAATGCGTTATTATCTCTTGTTGAACATTTTGAAAACTGCCATGAAAGATTATACGTTTGCCATGCTAAACAAGATTCATGTTTGGAAATGTTAATTCATTTACTTAAAGAGAGTCAGCCAATTGTAGAAAATGATTTAACGGGAAAATACATCCTCTCTTTGATATTTAAGATTATACCAGGAGTGTTTTACTGTATAAAGAGATACATGTTTTCCGCTTATAACTTGGAGAGTTTTGACACTTCTGTGATGTATTTACATTCATTGAACATTCTTTCAAATGAACCTAAATTACAATGTAATCTTCTGAAGCATGCAGAAATGTTACAGAGTGCTTGTTTTTCTATTGCTTCTTTAGAAAATGCTACACCTATGTCTGAGTACTTTAGTATTAAAGTCTTATCTTGGATATCTAATTTGATGAATGAGAGTTACAAAACCGATGAACATTATGTCAAGACTTCTGCTCTCTTTGAAAAGCAAATGGCCTTCTCAGAGAATATGCTTAAAAGGAAGAATTTGAATTGTATTTTGATAAAAGCTCAACAAGATAAGCAGCTGACACGAGATATGCAAACACTATGGGGTAGACTTGTAGCGGAGTATATGCAAAGTACATGGTTTGTATTGAATTTTTATATTGAGATGAAAACAAATTCCTCTGAGTTGCAAATGGAATTTGAATTTGCAAGCTATATTTTGACTGAAGCAGAAGAAGCTCTTGAAGTAGGTGGAAGAGGAATGTTGATTCCAGTGATGTCAGTGATGCAACAAATTGCTCATCTTCTTGTTACAAGTGAGACCAGAGAGAAAGTCAAAAGGTTTATAGCATTATGTTGGACTGGTATCTTCGAGCTTCGTAAATCTGAGCTTTTCTGGATTTCCATGGAGAAGTATGTTCAAATGACATTTCAGAAGTGTTTAATCAATGACTCTGAAATGAGTGAAATACTTCTACAAGTAAGATTATATGCTTTTTTATGCCGTTTTATCATAATTGATCTGCTGAGAAGGAGAATGATATAGGTCACTTTTTCTAAATTTTAGAGGTCAGAATATATTGCGCCCTTATCTTTTCTTACTCTTCCTCAGTTTGTTCATAATCAAATGGTACTGATTATTGGTGCAGTGCAATTCTGCAGCAACCATCATCTTGACAAAAACACTTCTGTGTATCTGTAGGATGTACAAACAGCATATATTGTTTCTTTGCTTCTGGAATTGAATCAGAATATAGTGATGTCTATGTTACATCTTCCAAGCCCTTTGTACATTTAGGGGCTCTCCATCTGCAATTTGAATGACATAATTCATAGATTTGAAATTTTCAATTTCATTAAGTTTTTTCTATTGTGAATTACGTAAGGATTCTTTAGAAAGCTTGATCCACTGAATTTTTAATCATTTGTAGTTCTTTTGGATTTAAGTAATCTTTCTGGCTACTACACGATTCAGTAGTAACTTAGTTGATAGAAAATTTGATATTTTCATTTTGGTGAACAAAACCTCTAATATTCCTGGCAAACCATACATAATCTTCTATAGTTAATGGTCAAATAAAGCCAAACAAACACCAAAATTGAAGTCACATTTGTGTTTCATCTTTTCCTCAAAAGTCATTTGGTAATTATGCTTTTGCTCCAGAAAGCTGTCCTCTATAGCGATCAGTGTGAGTTTCGTCTTAATAAAGCTTTGCCTGAGAACCTATTGAATCCAATTCTACTCTGAAAATGGAATAAGCTAAAATTGAAATTATTTTTTACTTATACCAATCTACCTCTCAACAGCTCAATTCTTTTTCAGTGTAAGAAATAATTTAGTTGCAAAGTGAAGGGTATATTTTTGATTCTGTTTTTATACAAATATTATTTTCATGCATTGTTGTTTATGAAAATTAACTTTGTTCTTCCTCTTTATATGAAATTATAAATCATGATTATTCTTCTACGCAGTCTTTTTGACATTCATTAATTTGGTAATTATTTTAAAGTTAATTTTGAGAATTAATGTTAATATATGTATTGATGACAATGGACTTAAAAGTAATTTTAACTATAAAATACATTGTGCTTTGTTCACACTGAGTAGATCTAAAAGAATTAATATTAAAAACAGCCAAAGAAATTATAATATTCATGAGCATTAAGTATTAGTCAGTGTTTTTTGGGAAATTTTGTTGCACTTTTATGCACAAATATAAAATTTAATTATTTGCAGTATGCCCGAAAGATTTTCATCCAAGGAGAATCTGTGACAGGTCTTTGCAACAAATTACTGCAGCAGTTGCAGGAAGTAGCTAAGCACTACAACTTGGGCATCTTTCAACCTTTTGCAGACATTTTGGTTGATGCCCTACTTTTTGGACCTGTCTATAGACGAGATAGAAAGTATGTTTAAGGAAATTCATTTTATGCAAAAATTGGTTTCAATAAGTGTGTACGATATCTCTATTCACTTTTATAGTTAAACTTTAGTGAGGTCATGTATTTTTTTTTTACTGTAGTTCCAATAATATTGCACATTTTCTGTTTGAAGAATCGATGATGAAACCTGTGCTTTCATTAAATCGTTGGGTGATAAGTGTTGCATTAATGATGCTTATGACATGTAAGTTGACTGGTTAGTTCTTTGTCAGAGTATTATTGCTCTTATACACATTTATTTTAGTGATAGAAATTGTCTTTGAGCTTGATAATCTTATTGCAGCTGTTCTGATACTGAAGTGAGAGCCAGAGCTATTAATTTACTTCTGTACTGTCAAGACAATGAGACATTCAGTGGTGTGGAAATCACTGTGAAGATTGTGAATATATTGTTGCTTAAAGATGCACTTGCATCACGACAGAGAAGTCGTTATTTTGCTGATTCTTATCATCATAGACTCAAAAATCGTATAATGCAAGTTCTGCTTCTACTAGAACCTTTGTTACCAGAGGTAAGTTAAATTATCATAACTTTTAAAGAGTAATATAATTTTTGAAATCTTACATTGTGTTCATTCTAGTACATTGAATTTATGTAGAGAAATAATATTAATGGAAGACACAATGTTGCCTTCATACAGATGTCCCACCGTCTATGGGCCACAGCCATAACTTCTAAATGGTTCTTGATATCGATATGTAGTTTTCTCTCGACAATGCAGAATCGTGGGGCAAGAAATATGCTGTAGAGATATTGTTTGATATAATTTTAGAATATTTTCGAGATATATAATCTTTTATTTTTTGAAATAGTACCGTGTATTTTTCTCTTTAGCTTAATCATAAATAGATAATTGCACTGATGTTACATATATTAATGTTTTAATGGTATTTCGAGTATAAAAGTATACTTTCTGACGTGTGATTTTAAATTAAATGTACTATATTTCTTGTAGCAGGCTCTGCAATTATCACCGTTGGGGAAGGAGGCCTTTGCGCCGCCGGTACTGTTGAGGGGAGAGGCTGCGAAGGCCACCTTCCCCACAAGCAACAGTACGTTTAATTTGAGAATCATGTCAAAATATAATTTTATTTTCCAAACTCTATCCAAGCCCTCGTGGCTAGCTGTTGGTCAGCGTGCTCGCTTTCCCCTACGCGGGCCCGGGTTCGATTACCGGTGAGGCAAGGTTATCGTGAGCGTTTTCCTTGCAATGTCGCAGTATATGTTGCTGCGCGACGCTGAGAAAATTCACTTCTCCGGTTGAGAACACCGGAATACGGCGTGGGGATTTCTAAGTGTCAACCACACGTACCTACGTGCTAACCCATGGCCGCAAGGCAGGGACGTCGCCGGTAGGCCTGAGCCCGTTTACGGGCTGTCGCGCCAAGTACATACATACAAATATCAAAACATTAACAGTAGCTAGTGCGAAAAATGTACGATTTCATTTAAAAAATGATTAAATTTCTCAAAAACTAAAATATTTCAAACTACAGGTGGCGCAGGGAAACGGGACATTTTGAACGTTACGGTTGGCAGCACTGTAGATCTGGCAGAAACCGAAATTGTTGTGAACGCATTGCTATTTAGTAATTATGGATCATTGGACGGGTGCGGAACATGCTGTAGCTGTGAGAGCGTTTTACAAAAATGGTGATAATGCTACTGCCTCGGAGGATATTCCGACAGCATTACCAGCTTGGACGTCATAGACGTGTCCCATCTGTTCATGCGATTACGAACGTCGAACGAATGGACGTGTCCCATCTGCATGCGGTTGCGAACGTCGGTGCGTAAATTTGAAGAAACAGGTTTTGCCTTGAGAAAACCGTCAGGTGGCGTTCCAACTGTACGTTTCACAGAGAACGTGCAGCTCTTCTAGCTGCCATCGAGAGAAGTCCTCGCCGGTCTGTTCAACATCATGCATCTTCGCTAGTGATTAAACGACGAAGCTTATAAAAAAAAATACTACACGAATTACACTATAAGTTGCAGATTGTACACCAATTACATGAACGAGGCCTTGTGTCACGTCTGGAGTAAACACTGCCATTCCCCAATATTTGCTACAGCGCGCATTCCAGAGTATTCATAACAGGTTATTACAGTGTGAACGCCGAATTGAAGCACATCTTTCCGACGTCATTTTTAAAAAGCAGACACTTTATGACATTTTGATAGTGAAAAGAAATGACATACTGAATACATGAACTTTCGTTAATGAATTATTTGTTTTATGTAATTATTCGTGTCGCGCAAATAAAGTTATTTCAAAATTTTCCATTTCCTTGCGCCACCCTGTGTATCTACAATTCCATGATTCCGCATTGTTGAGTGAAAACTGGATTCCGTGGTGGGTGGGGAACATGCAAACGAATGATATGGAACCAAAACTTCGACCCCTGCCCTTTTCCGCCAGGAAAAAAAAGTGAGGAAACACTTGACCTGAATGGTTTTTGTCACAGACGAAGACACCCCCCCCCCCAAACACGCGTTTCCTCATGGCATGTGTCGAAGGGGAAACGTTCAAAAATGTGCTTTGTCTGGTGAGTCATAGAGGAAGCTTTCCGGAAGTTCCAAATGGTGGCGTGACAATGGAATGTTATGATTGAGTTTGGAGAATGCACCCAAGGACATATCGACCATATCCTAAAAACAGAGCAGATTACTGGCCTCCAGGCAACTATTCATCCAGGCGACCACCCATCCAACCCCCAATCTCTGCTAGGGAGTGGTAAACCACGAGGACTTCGCTTCGTAGGGTGACGAAGATCTTTCATCAAAGGGGCAGGGCGTCACGGAGGTGTACAGAATCGAAAGGAAGGAGTAGGGTAAAGTGACTCTACTGCGATTTTGATCCTTACGTTAAACCTCCGTTCCCGGAAATGATCAGTTCTGGTTTTTACAAACGCGTGCGACAAGTTTGCGCCTTTCCACTGTTTCAAGTGTCAAACATTTGGGCATACCCAACAACGATGTATGTTGGCGAGCCCAGTGTGCAGAAAGTGGGGGTAAATCAATGCACGACCCTCAACCCTGCGCTACACCACCACTCTGTGTCAACTGCAAAGGTGACCATCCAGTGCCGTACTTTTCTCAGGGAGAGAAATAGAGATTAAGAATATCAGATTTACCGAAAAGGTTTCCTTCCCTGAAGTCAAATGTCGGCACCAGGCAAGAAACCCAGTAGACCCGTCACGACCCTTCTCCAGTGCTCTCCCTAAAGAGTCCTTGAGAGTAACAAGTTGTCAAACAACGTGCTTCCGCTCTAGTAGCGTACTTCAGTTGTCGGGTGCCAATACGTAGTGCATTCAAGGTGGAAATGCGTTAGTACCTATAAAGAGCAAGAAATCTTGTAAAAACTTCACCAGCCACCGATGACTTCTACTAAGCCCCAAATGGAAATCAATGCCAGTCAGGTATCGCCTCCAAATAAAAATTAGTCTTCGAAGACTCGTCCACTTCTACTTCCGAGACTCAACTTGACCGATCCTCCATCCCCCGTAGACGATGACGGCCACCTGTGACAAAAAACGGAAAATACTCCTGACAGTCAACCCATCTCCAACATCAGTCAAGATGATTGTTGTTGGCGAGGAGCACCGCGAAAGTTCCTCTACCAACTCTCAGAAGATGAGAAGAAAATAGATACAAAATAAATAATTCCCCCACCACGGCTCTCACGGAACGTAAACTGTTTCCGTGCACATTCAGAAGAATCGAGGTCGATACTCTTTCGCCATAGTACATCCATAACCTGTCTTCAGGAAGCTCATGTTTGCCATCATACTCTTATATCTTCGCGGTTTTTGTATCTATCGGTTTGATCAAGATGACGGACTTCGTGTTCACAGGGTTGTCGCGGTACGTCTCAGTGACTTCCTGTTCTCTGAGGAACGGAACTTCTAACCGACCTTCAAGCTGCATGCTTCCAGATAAACCTACCATCCTTTTCGATAACGATGTACAATAGATACATTCCACCTACACAAGTCGTCACAAGAACTAGATGTTTTCCCACTTGCTCGCCCTTTGTGGGATTTAAATGCCCACAATCCTGCCTGGGGTGACTCAAGGACGTGCCTGAAAGGCAATATTCTTAAAAATATTATTGATAGCCAGAACCTAAAGATGAAAACCAGAGAAAGCACAGATTTTTCCGTTGCTTCAAACTTTCTCGTCCGTACCTTATGAATGTAGTTTTTCTATCTTCGCCATTTTTTGTGGACTGTCCTTGGCAACCTGCGTGGCAGTGACAACTTCTCCATTGTGGCCCACTTTGTTATTCCAGATCTAAACGTCCGTCTTTCTCGCTGGTTAATCCAAGGAGCTGGGTTGGAAACATTCGAGAAATAAATACGGAAATCGGAAAACTGCCCAAACAATAGCGATGCTATGGTTGCCCGTTTTACTGATGCCGGTATTCATGCGGCCTCAATTACCATCTCGAAGTCGTCGGGTCTTCCACGACATCCTAGTGTGTCATGGAGGAACGCCGACTGCCACCGCGGTGCATGATCGGAAGCGGATACTGACAAAACTTAGGTTTCCAACCATGCATAGTTGATAAATTATAAAAGATCCCGAGCCAGAGCTATATTGGTCATTGGAAAAAGTGAGGCCGCGCCCTGGCGTGCCTATATTTCATTCTTGCAGTACGTCCCCTGAGTAGTGTGGCGAAAGGTACGTCAGTTCGGAGGAAGACTTCCTTCATATGTCCCGGGTCCTCTGGTAAATGGAAATTTCATCACCTCACCAGAAGGCATTGATGAAGAATTGGTCTCTTACTACGAGCAAATCTCCAGTTCCGTACACTATCTTCCTGATTTTCTGAATATAAAAAGAACGGAGACTTGCAGATTAGATTTCTCGAGACGCGTGGAGGAAGATTATAATGCTTTTTTCACCATGAATGAAAGTGTGCCCTCTGCCCGCGCGCGAAATATCCTGCTCCAGGGCCAGACCAGATAAATGCTGCAACACCTACCGGAAAACGCTCGTTCTGTTCTCCGTATTTTCAACCAGATTTAGGTTGAATATGTCGTACCAAGGATTTGGCGTGAAGCCATTGTTATACCTATTCCCAAAGAAGGAAAGGACAGAACAATCCCTTCAAGTTACCGCCCAATATCGCTCACAAGCTGTGTCCAGGGTTTTGAAGCGAATGGTAAACAGGTTTGGTTTGGCTCCTGGAACGAAAAAAAATTTTCAGTTGTCAATGTGGTTTCAGGAAGCACAGATCAACCATGGACCCCTTACAAGGGACCTTTCAACTGGTTCAGGTCGAAATCTTGGCTCATTTTTGGACAGATTAATATTCACTATTTCTATACGCTGTGAACAAAATAGTTGCCATCTCGCACCGGAAGTTACTGAAAAAATATATGTTTCACACTTTCCACGACGCACCCGTGGGGCTGCGCACAGTGAAAAAATGCCCAATGAGGGAACAAGCGCTCGTATGGGCTTCAGTTTCAAATCATTGCAGCGAAACATGACATCATTCACACCCTTGACAAAGCCAGCAGTGTCGCGCGGAACAGCGCTTATTCTTCTGGGGACTAGTACTTTGTCATTGAAAAAAGAAACCCAATATGATGCCAAAATGTGCCCGCGCAAAGCATATTTAAAGACTGTTTACTAATCTCTGATTATTTTTATAGACATCAATGTATGAGGTTTCTGTTGAATTTGTTTGTTCACTCCGGTAAGTCGTCATACCAATTGTTGCCCATAATCCTTGCCGGTATTATTGGTGACTGACTCCGAAAAAGAAAATTTCTTGACTCATTGTTTCGTACGACAAGACGGCTCTGAGTGACCCGGAAGGCAGTGATTCGTTGATTAAAGCTTTGGTAATCAATGAGCCAATCATCGCGTTAGGGTCCGCTGAAAACCGCCTTTCCAAATATGCCCTTTATTACAGTCGACACCGATTACAGTCAACTCTCGGTTCTAGTCACTGGTCCAGTTTCACTTACATTACAATTAAGCATAAGAAGATTCGATTATAGTGAACACTAAACCTCGGCTGTAGCGTACGTAGGAAACACGCCCGGGAAATTAAATTCCCTCCGAAAAAATATATCGCTCAGTGCCACAAATTCCAACTCTAAGCTTGGAAAAAGATATCGTCGACCAAAGGTCCAAGATCCAAGAAGTCTCCTCTGAGGAAGGGATAGGGTGGCCAATTGCGTTGTACTAAAATCGGTGACTCATACTCCGGATGGCGTTGTCTAAGACTGTTGTGTGTAATTATTTCTAACAAATGGCAATGAGAAATTTCTTTTCTGAATTTCTATTGCTATTCCTTGTTTTTAGTGGTCATTTATTAATGGCTGCCTAATCTTATATTCGTACTATATATCAGAATGTAAAATGTCTATTTTCAATGATATCTGTTTTAGGAAGAATGTGAGAAGCTGACAACTTATTTGCGAAGTAGTGTGTTGACCGAGAATCATCAACCAAGTGTGAGATATTTGCAAGAATGGATTCTTATCAGATTAATGATCAAGAATCCTAAAGCGCATTTTCTAATCTGGGATGTGTTTCAAGCAGTAAGTAAATTGAATTTTTTTCTTTATTGATGTTCTCTAATATTGAACCAGTACAGTGTGACATCCAATATTTTGTTGGATTTATTCTACAATCACATTGTTCGCAAAGTCAATGTTTTATAGTAAAATATTCAGTAAGATCTGTTTCTGTTTGTACCCCTGTTACATTTTTTAACATATCGATCATGGACTGCAATAGTGGCACAACTAAAAAATGCGAATTTTAAGTTAATGCACTCCCCAGAATTGCAGATTGATATACCTCCCAGCAACAGCATATCTTACAGAACAGTATTACTCCAACAAATGGGAGAAGTGTGAATGCAAGAATTCTGCATTTCAATACAAGGTGAATACTTGCAACTCATTTAACTCAACCTTTGATATTTTGAGCTCTGCCACTATTGCTGCCTGCGAAAGATATGGCTTTTAATATTTTATATATTTTGAAATATATTGATATGAAATAAGATTGATATATTTTAAAAACAATTGCAGATACCCATCCTACATGTCTAAGAAAAATATTGCCTGTCATGGAATGCAATTATTTTAATAGTTTTCTGGCATTGAAAATGTAAAACTTAATAGGCCATGACGTTGATATAACATTTCTATTCGTACGAGATTTGAGTTACGTAGCGCGAATATACGTTTTCGATGGATTTTGCGCCAACTGTTATGGTCGTTAATTCTTTGTGTAATGTATGTTATATCACGGTGATATAAAGGTGACGGTGTTCCCTGTTAGTGCGAGAAATCCGGCGCCGATCTACTCGTCAGCTTGCGGGAATTTCCCTTCCTTGTATCTTCGCCAGCAGGGCACAGCTCCAACCGGGAGAAGCTCTAAGCCACCGACTGATCTCTCGACACGTGTGGTAGGAAACTAGTCTTTCAGGACTCATATTTGCGAAGGCGTATGTCAATACAAATATAGAATTTTGTTCTTTGGCCTCCAGAAACAAAGCTAAATGTTTCTGGATCCGATTCTAACAATATGATCTCTAGAAAAGCCAGTACGGATAAATACTTGGCTAATACCTTTTCAACTATAAAACATGGAGATGTATCAACCATACTTCCGGTTTGTATGCCATCGAAAGGTGTGTAACCTACGTTTTAAGGCGTAATGGAGAAAACCTTTTACAATCATTTTAAAAACAAATACCAAAGTGTTCATACAATGGAAATGCAATTCGTTTATATGTCAGACGACAATAAACATACGGTAGCAGTTAATAAGGAATGGCTAATTTGCACAGTCCAGATACGTTACTGTGTCACCACCCGTCAAAATCCTGAAAAACCCCATTTTGCAGCGCTGACCGCTGCGAGACATGCAGGAAGAGAGTCAACTAGGTTCAGAACGGTATCGACAGGAAGTCGATTGGAGCCATGCCGACTCCAGTGCTGTGGCCCGGTGCGGATCCATGACGCAAAGAGTCCGATCGAGATGGTCCCACAGATTCTGGATTGGGTTTAAGTCAGGGGAGTTGGGTGACCAAGGGGAGTTCTTAACTCCTCGTGGTGCTCTTCGAACCACGCACGTACGCTGCTTGACACGTATTGTTCGAATAATATTTGTCTACTTGACTGCTAGCTGTTAACTGGGAAAAGGGGGTCCAGTTATTCAATCAGAGGCTTCAAATTCTGCCGACGTCATAGCAGGGTTGCCAATACGTAAGAAAAAATGAAAGCTTACAGCGCGACGCATCTGTTAACTGAAGAGCGCAATTACTACTTTGGTTATGCATCGTGTGTGCGGTTCCGTGTCGTCTTCTGTTGTGTGCTCTTGTTGCGATATGTTTCGTGCTACTGTTGTGATCAGATGGAATAACTACCACGTGTCTGTCGCCCGAGTAAGTGGCAACATCGTTTTACCCCGACTCCAACTGTCAAGTAGACAGAGTTATTCGGACTATTGATGTCTTGTTGAGGAACAACGATATGCATATAGGGGTAGGGTTTAGGGGATGACTGCATTTTTTGTTGAGCCATTATGCCTTCTGTTCTTTTTTTGTTGATCCAAATTCCAGCCATCGTCGCCGATGAACAGCCGTCAGCATGGTTGCATGAACCAGGCACCTGCTCTGGAGGCCCATACGCAACAACGTTCGCCGAACGGTTGTTGAATAGACCCTATTCGTAGCCCCGTGGTACAGCTGGCCGGCCAGTTGCTTTGCAGTTCTATGTCTATCCTCCTGTAAACGTCTCCGCAGCAGTCGTTTTCCCCTGTCATCGATCGTCCGTGGTGCGCCACATTTGCTTGGCGCCAATTTTGGAAATCGCGGTTTTGCCATGCACGGTATACTTTAACCCCAGCACAACGCGAACACTTTACACATTTTATCGACTCGAAAATGCTACCGCCCTTATACCGAAAACCAATGCTCATGCCCTTTTGGACGTCCGAAAAATCGCCCCTTTTATACATTGCGACAACTACTGCACGTTTTCCGCTTCTACTCGACACGTTTTAAATACCCTCCACTCTTAGTACTGCCACCTTCCGTCTTGGAGGGGTTATGGCAGTTTACGTCGAACATAGGCGGTGGTCACATTAATGTAGCTGGACAATGTGTAACGAGCCAAAACAATTGCACACTCTACTATCAGTTTAAATCCAATCGAACATCTGTTGGCCTTCTTGAAAAGCAGAATAAGAAAAAAATATTTCATGAAAAGAGAAAATATTGGTTGATGGGGAAAAAATACTTTGGAAGTTTGCCAGTGCCTTTTTAATTCATTGCAGGGAGGATGCCAGGCTATTATGAAGGCAAAGGGATATTCAACAAAACATTAAAAAACTGTTCGCGGGCATCATTGTTGTAAATAATAAGAGTAAGAAATGGTTCAAATAAATGAATCATTTTGTTAATTTCGATTTCTTAATATATTATTTTGTCTAATTCAAAAGTTTTAATTTAGTGAGTGTTTTGGCTAGTTCTATATATAGCTGAATCGCGAATTAGCCGGTTAAATCCCATATTAGCATGACGGTTTGGATAAAGTTGTTTGAATGACAAAGCAATCATTTCGAACGTCCGGCAAATGTGGAAATTCGCCACATGTAACTGGCTAAAGTAAGGCGATAATCCGAGTGTGAGGAGTTTCGTGTGTCTGCGAGACGTTTTTGGCATTAAAGGCGTTGGAATTTATATACGGGACAGACTGAAGATTGTTTAATGTAAATCCCGAAGCCCTGTAAATCCCGAACTCGGAAATGCGTACCAAAGCGACTAATAGACACTCGGACACCTGCTAATTTCAAGAATCTTCGGCCAGTTTGTTTTAGAGAAAGAGTTTTGTTTTTACTCAGCATAATTTTGAAAAATCGGAATTAGCCATTAAAATAACGAAAACTAGTGAAAAAATAGCTCTTCGAAGTAAAATGACCTTTTAATCATCAGTTACACGAATGAGAATGTCTCGAAAGTATTCGGCCAGAGAGCGACTGAACAGAAATATCAGTTCTTTAAACATAGAAAGAGGCCGTGGAAATCAACGGTAACCAAATGCTGAAAGTTATCCATGATACAGCGACAGTCTGCTCGGAAGGGTTTGGATCGTGGGAACCACTTTGAACATTAGTCTCTGAGGGAAATGCGATACTTTCGAACAACGGCAGCTGGACGTCGTATCTCACCACATATAGAGGATGAGCAGCCGAAACATTATTCAAATGTTAACGACGAAGAAACGTAGGGTGAGTGAAATTATAAGACGGCTCAATAAGGAAAGCGGAATCGAGCTTGGTGTGCCCAAAGAGGGAGGGAGGGACGTACCCCTCGAGGGGTGAGCCCAAAGACGTTTTCTATTAAAGATGAAAACTGGATTCTAAGGAATATGAAAATAAATACTTTTGTAAGTGGTCTTGAAATAGTGGTACAGTAAGATAATGAATTGGGAAGAAAGCTGGGGTAACCGTAAGAAGTGTCATGAGAACAGAAAACGTCCATGGTCGTTTCCCAAGAGGAAAGCCCTTCATAAGTAAAATTAATGGAAGTAAAAGACTACAGGTCGCAAGTGAACACGAAGGAAAGGACGCAAAATGGTGGAATCGGATAACTTTTTGCGGACAGGTCCAAATTCAACATTTCAGGGTCAGATGGACGAATAAATATCTGGTGAAAATCAAACGAGTTGAAACAGCACAGTCTGCAAGCCACTGTAACACAGCGGCGGCGAGTAGTGTGGGGGACCTGGTATTCATAGAGCAGGGATGTCCTACTTGTAAGGCCTCAAGGGCCATAACTAAAACTTTTAATTTTGTTGCGGGCCTCATTTGCGTTACTCAGGAGATCCACATCTGACTTCCTTGTATTATCTATCTTGGCCCTTTGCCCGGCCCGTCTAAAACGGGGGGATGGAACCATGCGAGATATCGGGCCGCACCATGCATAACGCAGTGAAACACATTGGGATGATTTTGAATTTCTGAATTTACTAGACAAAAATTCTTAAATCTAAACGTAGTCTATTATTGCATCAAAGGGGCTGTTGACATCTGCAGAGCTCAGGCGTTAGGCGCACAATGCTAATAAATGGCCCCGCATGCTGCCAGTTGGACAACCCTATCATAGAGCAATGCACAGGGTATTGCCATAACATCCTTCAAGATTTTTTTCAAAAAAGTGCTTGGATCGATGGATTTGCTTCGCAATTGTACGTTTTATCATGATAACGACCCAAAACAAACAGTACAAATAGTTCAGCTTTAGTTGTTATTCAACTATCCAAAAGTGCTCCATCCACCTTCCATATCACACAATTTTAACGTAATTGGAAAACTGTGACGTTTACTAGAAACGTCAAATACAAATACGCGAAGCAGCATTTGAAGGAGGTAATGCAGAAAGAAAAAACGTATCTGCTGAATACACAAAAAGTTGGTTCTTAGTATGCCCAGAAGATTAAAGATGTAATTAAGAATAAAGGACTGGCCACAAAATAGTGAATGTACTTTTTTTAACGTATTTTTGTATATTTTGTGTTAAATATCCCTACTGTCTGAATAGTTTTGGGACTAGTATTTTCAGTTCCTTATGCATCTGGTTGCTAATTTGTTTGTAAAATGTACAGTTGGAAACATTAAGTTTCGCGTCGAAAATGCCTTGGCCCAAGAGGTTGATGGCGCTGGACATCCCTGCTTGCCGACAGCGCTATGTAACGTTTATTTTCGAAACTACGTTCTGTACATCGAACTAAGAAGATAAAAATTTATTTTTTTGGAGAGAGTATAAAATACTTTAACGTTCATTGAGAGCTAAATAGTAGTAGTACGAAGGAAAAAATCTTTCGTGATTCCTGCCAGTGAAACTGAATTCACACCAGTCTTTGAAAACGTAATGTTCCTTTCAAGTTTCGTTAATATAAAATGTGTTGTTATAAAATGTGTGTAAAAAGAGCGAAAGAATGGCTTAGTGTCAAAATGTTGTTCTAGAACTCGTGAAGCAGCGGGTTCGAGTCCCAGTCTGCATAGATATTTTATTTATTCTACAGTGCCATGAAATTCACTAAATTACAATATCCTACATTTGTCTTGTCAATGTTATGCATAATTTAGGCAAAATTCGCGATTGCGAATAAGGAATGCTAAAAAAGTGGTTATACGAGTTGTGCGGCATTGAGACCAAAATAATTTAATCTTCTATAATCCTGTAGATAATAATCTTAAATCGCGAATAAAAGGAATATCAAAATATTGCGCTATTAGTTTCACTTTTACTCGAAAAAAAAAACAAACTTTTATGCCGTAGAACACAAAAATGACCATGAAATTGCACTCGTCAATGCTCGGAAAGACAATTTGTTTAACAAGTAATATCACAAAATATTAGTGATATATCAACAAGAAATATCGACTTGCTTTTGTATCTGTAATTCATTAAATCCCGTTTTTACAAATACATCTGTTTGTCTTGATATGACATATTTCTTTTATACTACTATATAGAAATAAATAAAATAGTAATTGTGTGCATAGATTACCGAATGCTATTGATATATAATGCGAATAAAAATGATGGAACTGTTGATGTTTTGCAATCACAATAATTCTTAATTTGACAAGGCTTTCAATTTGCAATGTCTACGCTGAAGTAAATAAGGTGGTTTTGATGATGAATGTGGTTTATTGGTTCTGATGATGAATATTTCTGAGATCCCTTGCCTACATGTGGGAGGCCTCAGTTATGTGGGTATTGAGATTTTCTAGGTGTAAAGTAAAATAAATTTCATTTCAAAATACAATTTATCAACAATTTGAATACATCTGAAATAGATGTTTATATAAATTAAATTTCAAATTGAGACTTCCAAATTTTTAGCTCAACTTTCTGCATAATGACTAGATATTCCTGAATTATTCTATACTTTTGTTTTTATTTCCACTTTCCAAGGGCATTAATCCCAAACATTTAGCTGCAGAATGTCTTAAACTAATGATATGGCATATTCTTGTTTTTGTGAAACAGACTAGAATGGAAAAGTTGAAACTAGACCCCTCACTGAGGTGTTATCAGCCAGCATTTCATTTTTACATATGTTGATTGTTCCAGGTGAGTTGGGGACTTTTTTGTTTGGTTTTTAAATAAAAAGAATTTTAATGTTTTGGTGTTATTGGTCCTGCTTATACCGGCTGATATCTTTTAGAAATCTCCAAAAAGGCATGGACGGTCCAAATACCGCTGTGCTAGCTGAATCGTTATGTAAAATGCTTGAGTGGTGCAGGGTTAACATATATTGTTATTGTCATCTCCACACTACATAATGCATATTTTTAATTTTAAATACAAGCGATCAATTTTTAAATATCATCAGAATTGGAATATTTGCTTCTTCGCGAAAACGAATTTTGACCACTTGAAGCATAAAATTGTTAGGACAAATGTAGGATGTAATTTTGTTGATTTTTAATGCACTGTAGAATGGATAAAATATCTACAAGGACTGGGAATCGAACCCGCAGCTTAACGAGTTTTAGAATAACACTTTGACACTGAGCCATTGCTCCGCTCTTTCGATACTCTTCTAACAACACATTTTGTATTAACGAAACTTGTAAGGAACATAACGTTTATAGAAGTTAATGTCAATTCAATTTCATGGACAGGAATCACGGAAATCTTTTTCCTCTGTACTACTAATACTATTTAGCTCTCAATTTAGCTCTTAAAGTATTTTATACGCTCTCCAATAAAATAAATTCATAGTCCGATGTACAGAACGTAGTTTCGAAAATAAAGGTTAGATAGCGCTGTCAGCAAGCAGGTATCAACCTCACGTTGCTAGGCATTTTCGACGCGAAACTGTTTTTACGTATTATGCAAACTGTGTTTTTATAATTATGAATTTAAAAAATCATTGTAAATGCCAGAAAATCCCTGGTGTCCCAATAGTGACTAGGTCAGGTTCGGTTAGGTTGTTTTGTGTAAGTAGAAATTTTCGATTGACGCATATCTCAGAAATACATACCTTGCCTCTCACTATCCATCGAAACGTCCCACAGGTAGCCTTATTCCTGTTTATTACAATAACACAATGTATGGTATTTCTCACTTTCTGTAACGTACTCGTATTTCACTTACCCTAGCCACTGAATTTGCTGATATACACTTCATCCGAGTTAAGTCTGAAGTTTGCTTCGAAGCTGTTCTTGCTTTGGATTTTATGCCCACATTTTGGATATTGTGAATATGTAGAGGAAATTTTGCGATAAAGAATTATTATTATTATTGTTATTACTATTATTACGTGAGCGCCTCTAAACCTCCCAACCAGCAAAACGGTTGGTGGGGTGTTGAAGTGGAGGCTAGAGAAAAGGTGCAGTGAAGTTAACTGAGGCCGGTAGCTGACAACCAAAAGGTTAAATTGGCGTTAAAATGTTAAGTAATGAGTAACGACAACTCAGAATAATGGGGGAAAGTGGCCAGTAAGGGATGTTGCAGAACTAATCGAAGAACTAGTGTTTTTAGTGAAAAGGCATTTGGAAAATAAAAATCTGTGCTAGTATTCGAACGAAACCGTTAATGGGCAGATCGAAGAAATTCCAGCAGAATTATTGATGTAAAATTAGTGCATTTTTGTAAAGTTAGTTTTATTTCCGATTGAACATAACATCTCTTGAAAATCGCATTGCAATACTCATAATGCACGTAGGGGAAGTACAATGGTTTCGGAAACGCGATTCCCGTTGATGTTTCTTCTGGGACGGCCGTATCATTCCCGATCACGTCCATGCTTTCGCATTGCCTATCCCGTTCAGCCTGATGCGGCGACGACGGCGAAGGCGACCGGTGAGTCCAATGAGGGAATCCTCGCATGAGGGACGGAAGCAGCTTTTGTTGAAGGCTCAGCTTCTTACTTCCTTTTTCTTCACCAATCGCGCGCTAGTGAAACTAATGCACATCGGGTGTCACTTTCCGTTTCTAACCCTGGCGACGTATCAACGCCAACGCAAAATACCACACACATCCAGGGTCCTGTTCGGAAGCTTAGAGCGTGACCCAGCTGGGGTGGTCCCCGCTGACGGATGGGTACCTGGAAGGGGCAAAACCTGTAAGCCAACGTATAGGTCGATACTGGATCTCGCGTGCCGACGAGAGGGGACCACCGCCACTTCCTGAGTTACAACATGTACATTGCACTCTCGGTACTAATAACCTTAATAGTTGACGCGCCCGTTTTAAATAAAATGTATTGAGACGATAGATCTGCGCACAACACATGATTCAATGGTAAAAGTGTCATTTTCATTTAAACTTTTGAGTTTTAACAAAATACGATGTGTGTGTTTTAAACCGTTGTTATTCTTTTGGTGAAGGGAGTTCTTCAAAATGGACGTAAAATGAAACTATTTGTAGGATGCCAATTGCAGTATTATATTATATACCCGTTACAGTAATACGGGAACGTATATGCTGTTGTATCATGTATCTCACTTCATTTTTCTCTTCCACTGCTCAATACTGTAACCATTTTCTGTTTGGATTCCGTATTCTTGTTCCTTCGGACGTACACTCAAATACTTCATTCAAATTATCGATTCTTATTAAATGTGCAAGCTGGCCAAATGGAAGCGCTTACTCAATAAATATTTCCTTTGTGGGCATACTTTCTTTAATTAATTTTTGAGAATGTTGTTTCTGGTTTGTTCCTAGGCCATTGCAATGTATCAACAGTATTTTTATTTATGATTTCTTTCGTTTTAATGCATAACGCCTCATTGTGCGTAAAGGCAAAGCTCATTGACTTATACAATTGTACAAAGATATAACCGATGTGTATAATTTTTAATATTAAATGTTGTACGTTAACTTTCCTTGTTGCTAGACCTTTTTTATGACAGCGCTTCAAGTTTGAAACAAACTGCTTATAACTCTGGTTCCACTGTAGTATCTAAGCCAGTCCTATTTTACTTGTAATTGAGATATACATAAATATACTGATTTCTTTGCAATGATTGAATGCCTTTTTCAGGCTGCAGAGACTAAACCAGGAAGTTTGTGTTCATTTATTTCAATTGTATACCACATTGCACGTATGCTTCCAAAAGATGGTTTGGAGGAATTTATAGACAAAGCTATTAAAGAAATGTTGCCATGCACCATGACCCAGCATTTCAATGTTCGTCTGTATGCGCAGGTATGTAAGTAATTTTGAAGCATGTTTCAGTATATGTGTCGAGAGAATCCATACACAAAAAATAATAATTGTTGTTTCAGGTGTCTCTTTCCAAACTTTGGGAATATGCTGAGGAAAAAGCTCTATCTAATGTTACTGAAAAGTATCGTATCATGTATTTGGGCATTATGACTTGTTTGCGTGCTCCTTCCAGTTCAAAAAGTGTTAAGAAACTTGAAGATTTCTATTTCACAGCATTTCATCCACTAGAACACTACAGCTTGCAGGTGATCACTTTCTCTGTTTTTTACAAGTATTCCAAATTAAGATTGAAAAAATCGAAGCTCGTTTAAGATGCCAAGAAGATTGAAAGTAATTAAGATGGCAATTAAAATAGCAACCTGAAAGAATGTTGCTAACATGATATAACGTAATGTGAAACACAGTTCGTAAGAAAACAAGTGTTAGATGGGGAATTGAATTGAAATTGTAATGTTTTGAGGATAGGATCAATACCAGTTTATTCAATTCGATTTTCTGCGGCCTCAAATACATTTGTAATATTATAGGTTATGTATCTGTAATACTTAACATTTACATCAACATGGTGGATAGTGAAGGCTTGGCCCTTCCATTAGGACGCACTTTTCCAGGCGCTTAGTGGCAAACGAATGCATCTTCTTGCAAATTGTGAACGTAGATACATTCAGGTACTACAATGTTTGTACCGTAATGTGCAAGAGTGCGCAATGAAAACGCGTGGTCTTGAAGAGGCTCATACCTTTTTGAAAGCTTTCGAGTTGCGATAAAAATGGAAGAGATTCATATTTTCATCTTAAAATCACCTTGTCTCTTCCTTAAAATAACCCTATTCCCTTCAAGGAGATAGACAAAGGACTCGTGTATGTACTACATAGCCTATAAAAGCATCTATAAGTTTTCTTCGTCGTAGCTTGATTGAAGTCAAGGATGTTTTGACGAAACTTGGCAACGTAGTGGCGGGCGTTTGGCCCTGCCGACCCCCGACGATCCTTCATGTTGAGGTGAGTCGGTTTGCTTTTGTGACGGGGCAGATAATGATTTTTTCTTCGTTTTATACCCTCTTGTTCTTTTTTTCCTGCCACCTCACTTTTGTCACCCTCGTTTTTCCGGAAATGTCCGGGGGGGCTTTATGTAAAGCACCCTCAAATTTTGAAGAAAGTTTTTCAAAATGGCAACGCCTCGAGTCGAGTCAGATCGACCGGGGAATATCCGTTTGGGAAAAAATCGTACGTATGGTTTAGGTGCTAGGTGTTTACAGACGGACGGACGAACGAACGTTAAAAAAAACACCTTTTCGGTATCAGAGGACCCTAAAACGTGAATTTCCGTTGAAATCTCGAAATCGATTTTTCGCAGCATTCTGCGGAATTAAGAATTTATATTATATTTACTTGAAACTCTTGCTTAATCTTGAATTTGCTTCCTACTAAAATAGTAGTTAATGTAAGGGCGTTTCCATAACAAGGGCGCGAAATAGGTGATTCACGCACGAGTTTGCCCTCGGAGCATAGCGAGAACGACAAAGAGAACGGGAATTACCTCGCGCCCGTGTTGCGTATACTACTTTTTAACATGCCGTGAGCGAAACGCAGTGTGTGAAATAAAGGAATAAAAATTACATTTCAAATGACTAGAAATACCTTACTTGTACAAAAGTATATGGATTTCAGTCTGTCGTGACGTTATTATTTGTAAATATTAAACAAAGATGCCAATACGAAAGACAAGTGCCAATCGTTACAAATGTTTCGCACACCTATATGATTCGCATACTGAAAAAATTAACTGTTTCGCACATGGAAAACAGGCATGAGAAACCGCGTTTCGCGCACTCCGTGTTAAAAAATTATAAACTGCCAATTTATTTTAATTAGTTTGATTTTTCTTGGTGTTTTAATTTTTTATTGTTTTTACATTGCCTCTAAAACAAATAGCAAGTGTAACTTTGCCTTTTATAATATTCATTTATTTAAGTATTCAATTTTTTTTTCTTTCAATATTTTAGACTATATTTTATGAGCTTCCACGCTTAACAAATGTAACTCAAGATGAATGGATTTCACCAGAGACTCTACTGAGTTGTGGGCTGAAGACAACTTTTCCTGTATTTAATAAGAGGACGGATTTACAAGACTGTGAACATCTTTCTAGTATAGTTAAATCAGGTATCACCTTCTATTAATTTCTGGACATTATTTAATTTTTAATCAATTTATTTATTAAAGTATCTTCTGTTATTTTAGAATTGCTTCCTGATGATGATGCATTGTGCACGGAAGTAGCAAATGTTCAAAAGAAAATAATTCCATGGAAGGCCATGGTTCCTGATCCTGAAATGTTGTTGTCTCTATCTGAAACCATTATGCGGAGAAAACAAATGATCTTAGAAGAAGGCTTAATAATAGTAGCTTCCCTCATAGATCGCCCTCCAAATCTTGGTGGTCTAAGTCGAACTTGTGAAGCCTTTGGTGTTTGTCAGTATGTTATTGGAAATATTAAATACCTGGAAGATAAACAATTTCAGACATTAAGTGTAAGTGCTGAAAGATGGATTTCTATCAGAGAGGTATGTTCATAACACCTTATGTATACCTTTTGAAAGAATTTAAGAAAGTTGTTAATGTCTTGGCGCCCAAGGGTTCTCATTGACAATAATCTTTTGCACATTTTATGTTATATTAATTTTTAATGTATGATAATGATGTCTTACCGTGCAATAAAAACTTTTTTGTTCTTTATTGTTCTTCATATTTTAATATCACATCTTTTATTCTGATTTGTAAGTTGGCATAAATTACTCATAATGCACCACAGATGCAATCATTTTTTATATCTTCATAAATTGTTGAATTGTTTATTATTTGGAAAGTTCTGTGCTAATTTTATGAAATTGAAAAATATATTGCTACTGAACTACTGCTTTGATCTTAAAAATGGTCATAAGATTTAATCGTCATTGCTGTATCGTAAGATCCTACTCAAGAAAATATTTTTGAATTAATTGATCCACAATTGAAATTTTGTTGAGTTACAAAAACTTTAATTGATGTAGCAATAGGACACCTCTAAAAGATAAAATGCTTTGGTGGAGTTTTTCTTGAAACAGGCCTGTTTTCCAACTTTAAAACAGTCGGTAATTTTATAAATATTCATCAAATCCTAACCGATATAGTATTATGAATCAGTTTTGTGGCCAGAATTTCAAGGTGGAATCTCCAAGAACTTGAAAGGGGCCTTTTTATGTAATGAAATAAATGTGTACATATTTTTTTCTGGAGTATGGAAACTTTGGATTTAATTTATTTACTCTTGAACCCTAAACCACTCTAATGCTGTAACTGTTACTGCAGCAAATTCAAAATTGTTCTCTGCAAGCTGAAGTGTGAAGGATTATTTCTGAAATGCCATTGTATCTCATTTTGAGGCTTTTGAAAACTATTTAACTTGAATAGTAAAAATAAGTTCATGGTGAACATACTGTGGTGTTGGTGTGGCATCTGACACTGTATTTTTTGAATAAATCTTGAGCAAATCACTACTAAACATGATTATTTATCAAATCGACACTTCAGTGAAGTTGTTCTGCAATTGCACAATGAAATTGGAAGCTATTTCAATGATAAAAGACATCATCCTGGATGAATATTGTGATGTAAGTTACCATAACAAGGGATCCAAAGTACATGTTTTGCATTTTTAGTTATTTATTATAGATTGTGTACTTTTTCGTGTTGTTTGAAACCTGTTCTTAAATGTCCCAATATATTCATAATTCCTAATTTCTTAAAATGGCAAAATTTGAATTGTTTTTGACACATATCACACTAAATACAGCAGTTTTTTGAGGAAATTGAGAATTTTGCCAAGTTTAATTATTCAGAGAAAAATTGAGATGCATTGTGATTATTCACAGAGTACGAAATCATGATCTTCTATCATTCCTAGAAAATATTTTAATTTGGCTATCACAGTGGTGTTTGCATGGACTCGTACAGTGATTAAGCAGGTGCATTTTATTTGATCTTGGCGAGATAGACTTTAGTCCTGTAGTCCTCTTTCTGGCTATGTGTTGGTATGAACAATAATTTTTATTTCAGATTAAACCTCACGATCTTGCATTATATTTGGAAGATATGAAATGTAGAGGATACACAATTGTGGGTGCTGAACAGACAGCAAATAGCATTCTTTTGAGTAAAGTGAAATTTCCAAAAAGAACCCTATTATTGCTGGGGTAAGTATGCATGTTACTTAATTTTGGATAAATTGATTGATGGCATTTACTTTTCATTTATCAATAAAAGTAGAGCAGATCCTTTTACCCTGGAAACTTTGCAACTCACATTTTTTAGTTCAGGTTTTCAAATTAATAAATACAGTAAATGCCCATTGGTTTGGCAATTCTCAAATGATTTGACTAGTAGTTAAAACTAATTTGTATTTAAAACCATTTCATGAACTGAATTATTAATGTCACTTAGGATGTTCACACCTTCTTCATCTAGTCTGATGTACATTGAATTTTAATTTGACGTGGTATAACTATTTTTTATTTTAAATTATGTATCCAAGTTTTGTTTGTTTTGTCAAAAGGAATGAAAAGGAAGGAATACCAGTGAATTTGTTGCCACTACTGGATATGTGTGTTGAGGTACCCCAACAGGGAGTCATACGATCATTGAATGTCCATGTTACTGGAGCAATCTTCATATGGGAGTATGCCCGCCAACATAATGTGAAGCATTGAAGCAAAATGTGAAGTTGGAGATCGCTGTTAAGAGTAAATATATTTATTACAAAGAATTGAAATAATCAATTTCTCACAATTGGAGCTCAATCTTTTTAAGTGTTATCATAACATGAAATTTGAAACAATTTTTTCTCTTTTCTTTTGATCACTCTATTGCATGTCTAACATAAATTTTTTGTACTTTTATCTTAATTTCTACACACTACAATAAGCATGTTATACAAGACTTTTTTTTTTTAATTTAAAATTAGTTTTATAGTTCAAATGTATATTTATTTTTACATCATGTTTAGAATGGGAGTAGTAAATAAAACTTCCTAAATGACTTTCATAATAATAATAATAATAATAATAATAATAATAATAATAATAATAATAATAATAATAATAAT